TCAAAAAGCTTTTTAAAACTGAAATTTCTTTTTCAATAAAAATACAAATTCGCGATTAAAGTTGTTCAGTGTCAAGTTGAACTGAATCGAATCACACATACGTTTATCTGTAGAAATTATTTTCATATACGTATGATATCCATACTATTACTTTTAGAACAAGCATGTTATGTATATTAACTATAAATGTTTAAATTTAATAATTTAATTTTAATTTTAATAATTAAAAAATTATGAACTCCTGTATCACATTTTAAATTAAATATTTTATATATATTAAGTAGGAAATAAATTAAATATAAATAGCTAATAAATATTAATAATAAAAATAATAAGCCTTGCTCGACGTCAATGATTTCGAGCAGCCTCTTATAGTTGGCATAGGTTGTCTATAAGTCTCTTCCACTTTTCGCGCTAAAACGTCCTTTCTATCGAATTAATTTCATTAATAGGTTAAATTACAAATAATAGAAATAATTTAATTACTTAAAAAAACTTATAGATTAAGAAAACACTAAGTGCAATTTATTATAAAAAAATAGTTACCGGTATTACTACTACTGATTGATGACATTCACTATACCATTATATATGTAGACAAAAGGAACATGCCATGGACGTTTACGGACCTGTTTAAAAATCACGGCTATCCTAACGATATCTGCTTGCTATTATTTTATCATAACAATATGACATTCACTATACCACTATATATATAAACAAAAGGAACATGTCATGGACGTTTACAGAGCTGTTTGAAAATCACGGCTATCCTAACGATATCTGCTTGCTATTATTATATCATAACAATATGCAAAACAAACTAAATGATCTGATTAAAGAAGTAATTACATGTGTACTTCAGAGAATCCATGATTTTATTATCAACAATAATCACATTGAATAGATAAATTGCCTTTTCTGTCTTAACTGTGTAATTACTACAGACGGTGGCTCAGAAGTAGATATAAAAACTATATTGGGTGAAGCCAAATCAACCTTTGCATAACGTAGAAAGCCAAGTTTAACCTCACCTCAATAATAACAAAGATCTAGATATTTAAATCGAATTTAACCTGGTCGACCACAGACACAATCCTTCATAAATTACAAGCATTTGTTGGCAGATGTCTTTGGCGCCTCCTAAATATTTTATAGCCAAATATTTATAGATACAGAGTAACTATGATTTGTTTCAGCGATGCGATTTAAAAACAAGTAGCAATAAACCAGCCGTGAATGAGAACACGTTGGACGTACTCTAAAAAGCCACTTCATTGAATTTGTCAGCAGGAGTGGGTTACTTACTGAAAGAGATGAAGAGACGATGATGCTTTTAAACAAAAAGAAACATTTTGCACAAAACCGTTTCAATCTTTTTAAATATTTACACTTAAAGGTATAAACTTCACAAAACCTACTAAAACCGTAAATTAAAACTTGTCTTTACCTGGTGAATATTATAATTTGAAAATTTCTGTTTTTCCTCAACAAAACTAAATTCTAAATTCTTAAGGTATTCCTCAATAATGATCTCAATAAAAGTAATACAGCATCTATCTAATTAAGTTATCATTGAATCATATTGCTTTATACACACAACAAAAAAGATACTGAGTACTAGATTTCTCCTTTAGCAAATAAGATTTATTGCATCTCAACATAATAATTAAAATATAAATTATTAACGAATACAAATGATGTCAATCTGGAGATCAGACGAAGAATCACCATTGCTAATAGGTGCTACTATGGGCTCAGTAGGCAATTGGGATGTAGAGCTCTCTCTCTACAAACGAAACTTACGCTCTATAGGTCGCTCATCCTCCCTGTGCTTCTGTATGGCGCAGAAGCATGGACGTTATCACAGAATGATGAAGCAGCACTGGGAGTGTTCGAGAAAAAAGTTCTTCGTAAGATCTTTGGTCCTCTACGAGTTGGCGACGACTACCGCATTAAAATGAACCACGAGCTGTACGAGCTTTATTACGACATTGATATAATTCAGCGCATTAACATCCAGCGGCTTCGCTGGCTTGGTCATGTCGTGAGCATGGATGAAGACGCTCCGGCGAAAAAGGTGTTTGAAGCAGTAGTTGGCGGAAGAAGACGTAGAGGTAGACCGTGTCTCCGGTGGAGTGATCAAGTTGAGGGAGCACTAACTGGACTTGATATACGAGACTGGAAAAGGCGCGCACGCAGCAGAGGCGCCTGGGGAGACATGCTGCGTTAGGCTGAAACTCGGTAACGGGTTGTTATGGCCACATAAGTAAGTAAGTAAATTATTTAAATTTCTAATTTTATTTTTAACTCTACATACATATATATTGTATTAATTTTAATAAAGATTAGTTTATTGTATAGATATGTTATGTATTTAATTTGTAACATTTGTAATTTAATTATTATTATAAATATTTATAATAGATTGTAAAAAAAAAGAAAACCTTCAGTCGATATATTAAATACACTGTCAAGTACGACCAGAATACAAGTATATATATCGTGGGACGTGGGGTCAGTGCAACGTCCATCAAGTGACCCCACTGAAGTGAAGGATCAGCCAAAGTAGATCACAAAACTTTGGATTCTTTTTTGTCCTGCGATTCTCGGATATCGTTATTGAGTCGTTTCCGTTCGCAGTCATCCTAGTGTTTGCCAGTGCGGGACATTGGCACAATTTATGCACCGTTGTCACCTTTTCTTCTATACATAGACTACAAGTGTCTACCTCAACAGAAGCTATTTTTTTAAGGTGATATTTCAAATTTCCATGTCCAGTATTCAATGGAGGCAGCCGCAGATAGCTAAGCACTTTTATCTCTTCACTGACCATCGATTTTGGTATTATGAGTTTAGCCTGTTTACAAGTGCTCATGTCTCGCCACATCTGCATCTAAGATGAAGTGAAACTATCCACTTATCGACATAGGCCGCAATCATGGTAGTCCAATAGTATTCTGGGCAGAGTTCTATTGTTACTAATGAACTAAAAAAAAAATTACTAATGCATGAATTTTCTTAATATTGGTCTTGAATTTAAGTTCCCGGTCAAATTGAAGGGTTTTTTTACCAGGTTTGTAATTTAATTATTTAAATAACTTTAAATCAGTTGATAATATATTTATATTATATCATTTCTTTATGTATATATAGAATCTATAGAATAAGGTGTAAAAATCAGTTTCTCCTAATGCATTTATAAATATAAAAATATAAGAAATACATTGTGACCGAAAAGTTTTCGGAAATTCTCATTTAAAATTCGCGCGCTGTATATTTTTCGATATTTTAAGTTTATGTAGTTTGGCAGCACTGTCTTACATTTACTATGCCAAAAATGAGCGCGATCTGTCGGACAGTTCGTTTACGGCAGCTGTTGAAACCAGTTCACCTCAGTAGTGCGTTGCGAAAAAAACAATGGAAAAAAATATTGAACAAAGAGTTTGCATCAAATTTTGTTTTTCGAACGAAATTTCGTGTGCAGAATCGTTGCGAATGCTACAAAAGGCTTATGGGGAATCAGTTTTATCGAAAACTCAAGTTTATGAGTGGTACAAAGCCTTTCAGGACTGTCGTACGACCGTCGAAGACATGCCGCGTTCTGGACGACCTTCGACCTCTACCACCGACGAAAACATTGAAAAGGCAAAGGAAATCGTGTTCAAAAATCCTCATGTGAGTGTTAGAGAGATAGCACGAGAGCTAGGCATCGGTCGTGAGATGGCTCGTTTGATTTTGGTGGACAATTTGTGTATGCGACGTGTCAACGCCCGGCTTGTTCCGATTCACCTCAATTTGTTCAACATTATCAACGATTTTAAGGCCAAACATTCAATAAATACCATCGAACAGCCACCGTATTCACCTGATCTTGCACCGTGTGACTTTTTCCTGTTTCCCAACCTCAAATTACCACTCAGAGGAACGCGTTTTGAATCCATAGAAGACGTAAAACAGAATTCGCAGAGGGAACTCAAAGCCATACCGGAAAGCGCCTATAAAAAATGTTTTGATGATTGGAAGAAACGTTGGCATTTGTGTATCGCTTCTAATGGAGCATATTTTGAAGGAGATAAAATAAATATTGATGAAGATTAAGAATTTTGCGTTTTATTTAAAATTTCCCGAAAACTTTTCGGTCACAATGTATGTTTACTATATGGTACCCATATATATGTTATATAACATAAATATCTGCTATACATATTATCTATATTTAACTGCATTAAGGGTTGAAATTTATAAATATAACTAAAAACAAAAAGGATGGTAAGTTTATAAATAAATAAGTTAAGAATGAATTAGTTATGAATGAATGAAAAGAGTATCTAGTGAATGAATATATTTTTAGAATACCTTTTGCGTGCAGGATATAAAAACTTCGTTGAGTCCAAACTTGTTGCTTCTTCTTGATTTGATGAATGACAATAAGTCAGTAAATAAAAAGAAATAAAATTTATATTTATATTTTTAGTAGAACAATTACAACAGGTGTAGAACCTGTTGTAATTCTATTTACAAAATATATTAACATATACATATATATATATCATTATTACTGTTATGTTTATATATTCATACATGCTAATATATTTTTTTTTTGTGTTTATAGACATAAACTGTTGAATATATTTTGAATAAAAACAAAACATGCACAGAGTACCTTCTAGTTAATTCAATGAAATCTTTACGTGACAAACAGTTAAGTATCTAAGCTACATTTCCGTTATTGATCAAATATTTTTTTATTAATAAAACTTAAAATTATAATATAAGTAATATATTCAAAACAACAGATAAGCGAATATAATATTTTGCAAGCTAAATTTTCTTTCAGTTCACTTTTTCTTTTCGCTCTCTATAATACCGAGTCAGTCACTCCTAACGTTTATTATATAATTAAATAAAGTGAGTTTAGCAAAAATATTTATGAATCCAAATAAAAGATTTAATTAAAAATAATATTTATTATTATTAATTTAAATATATCTCAAGTAATGGAGTCATCGACAAATGAAGAAGCTGTCGCCGTTGGTCGAGACCCACGCCTTGATTTAATGGGTTCTTATGTAATAAAATCACTAAAATTGAAACCAGAAAAATGGACACGTCTAATATCTGTCGAGGAACACAAAGGCATAATAAAAGAGTTTTTAGATCGTTCCACACCAGTAGTGCTAGTTATTATTTTAACACAAAGTGCTCAGCTAGTTCCTTCATCTACATTCCCACTTTCGCAATTAAAAAGTAAAGGTGTTTATTTTATAAAAAAACATCCACAATCCATACCGCGCATATGTCCAAACAATATTATTATTTTTGGAGATTTAGCTACTACCACTATTGATCAACTTTCAACTTTAGTTGAGGAAGTTCTAGTACCATTGCTTTCGAATGAACAAAATTATGTAACTTGGCCATTCATGGTATCTCAAGATGTTCAGAAACATGTACATAGTTTGAAGAGCACTGTACACCAGGTAAAAGGTCAAGTGAGTGGAGAAACTATTTTAGCAATGCCTGTTGGGGTTGGTAAAATTATGAAAGTGGCTAATAATTTATTTGAAACCAATCAGTGTGTAATTGATTTATACTTAAAAAGTGCAATTGAAGGAGTAGTCATTAAATGGGCAACTCAAGTGCATGATGTCATCAAAGAAAGCTCTGTAGAAGCATTCAATAATGGACAAAATCCAACTCCAAAAATAGGTATGTAATAAATATTTATGCTAAATAATTATATGAGGAGAAGTTTTAGGAATAAATATAAAATAATAATAATAGAAATAGGAATAGGAATAAACTATTAAAAATAACACCTACCTAAACTAATATATATGAAATATTTGAAACAAAATATTGATTATGAAAGTTCGTGATTACTCGTATTATTTAATTTTGTATGAAAATTTAACTTAATGAAGAACTATTTATGCACATAAGTGTTTAAACAGATTACTATTTTTATTTAAAAAAAAAGTTCAATAGAAAACAGTTGCAGGTCGATTCATTAAAAACATCCAGTTCTAAAGAGCATTCAAATCTACAAATTTTTTACTGCTATTACTCAAACTTCTGTAGTTCTACAGGTTTTTTAATGCATATATAAAAGTAAAAACTATATTTTTTCTGTCTAAAAAATTATTTTTCTTTCTGTTACAATCTACTTAAAAGGACTTGTAAGAATTTTCCACCTTACCTTACCTTAGTTCTTAAAGCCGTCATTAACAATTTAATTTTTGTAATGAACTCATAGACTTAAGTATGCAAATTTCCAAATCTTATTCTGAAATACGATAGCAGTTCTATTTGATATTGTATGAACAATTTGTATATTTTATTTTGTCTTGAATGTTTATAGTATAATTACATATTATGTACAAAGAAATTACAATCAGCAATGGGTAAGATAATGCGAAATGCACTGACCTATGAAATAAGTTCAAATCTTAAAACGGATTTTTTTTCAATAATAGAAAATTATTTTTATTATTTTTATTTGCATATCTTTGTCTATTGTTTTATTGGTTTAATCAGATTTTAACTACTCAGGTCAAAATGATCTTACTCGACGCATTCACGTAAACGAAAGTAAAAGCACGTATGTTCATTTGGATAGAAGACTAATTTGGTGCAAACATCTTGAGGATAAGCAAAGTCAAATAAAGCTAAATACACAAAAATTGAACATAATTGGTTATTGAACATAAACTCCAAGTTACGGGAAACTACAAAGTGCTGCTCTACATATAATACTTTACTTAAGCTGATTCGAAACTATGACGCTGAGCTATAGGACAATGCATGATCATTCAAACTTAAAGTTAATTCAACGTATTCAATCCAAAATAGTTCGTTAACTTACTGGAGTTCCGTGGTATATAAGAAACGATACAATTCATGAAGTCATAAAGATCTAAAAACACCACTTATCAAAGATGAACTCATTAAAATCAAATGCAAATACAAGCAAAAACTTGAAATTCTTCCGAATCACCTGGCAAAGAATCTACCCGACCTTCTTCAAGATCACGCTTCAACTTAAATTATTATCATTTAACTCCAACTATGATTGTCAGTTAATTTTGATTGCTTTAGTTATTTAAGATTTGAAGACTTATTGTAAATCTTCTTATAAAAGAGATTCAATAACTCAATATATATATTAACCAGTGTGTAGTTAGAGCATAACTACACAGGCGAAATGAAGAGATTGCATGTGATAGGTGTGAGGCGTCATTTCAAAAGATCAGCCATTAAATTGCACATCGCTTCCCATTATGGTACCGTGTGAACCAAATTATTCTTTATTATATCCGTCCAAGCATTTCTTTCATACGCGCCTTCATTATAAATGCTTACATCAACATTTTTAGATCTATATTTACAACCGTAACAGGCTTTTTTCTGAATGCCTTTTCTTGAACATATTCTTTCTATTATTTTTCAAAGATGATCTTTGTTTTAAGCAGGGTATCAAATCGGAATTTTTTCCGTTCCGGTTTTCGTTCCGCTTCAAATATTGGTTTTTTCGGTTCGGTTTCGTGTCAATATTTTTTAAGTATTTGTATGCTGTTTTTTTTCCCCATAATTAAAATACATATTCATTCTTTTAGAATAACAAAATTTCTGCTTCTATAAATAACGATATATTTTTGAACTTCTTGTTCAAATTTTTTTTTATTCCGGTTCCGGTTTTCTTTTCAACAAAAATAACGGTTTTTTTCGGTTTTCGGTTCGGTTCGGTTCCAATTCAATGTCCTAGTTTTAAATGATATTAATGCTTATAATTAATATATATACGTATGTAATACCTGTATGTACTTATTAAAAACTTAAATAGAGCAAATGTGGAATAAAACTTCTAAATGGTTTTAACATGCAAACAAAAAAAAATGAAAGAATAGTTCTCCAACAATTTATAGACAACCAAACATACAAAAATAAAATTTCAATTTACAATATGAATTAATTTTGTGCCTAAGTATTTTTATCCATCAAACTCATGAATGTTGGAAAATAAAAGTCAGTATAAAACTTATAGGCAAAAATAGTTGTCTTATGTGTCATCTATCCTCCTTTTCCATTTTTACAAAGTCATATAGCGGCAAGTAATTGTTTTATGTTAGTAATTACATTAATTCTGTATATACTTTGAATAGCAAACAAATAATTATATATTAAATATGTGGAACAATGAAGAAATTTAAAGTTAATGAATTTAATATGGTCAAGCAAATCTATGATAAATGGATTAAGGACGATTTTTGGTACAGAGAAATAAAATCAACATTTATAAAAAAATTTAAATAATTATTATCGGCATTAATTATAATCCAATATATTCAGATTTCTATATACTTATTGTTTACCATATAATTAAAGATTAAATGATTGGTGTGCCGAAAATTATACCATAAATCTAAACAAATTAAATGTTTTATTTAAAAATTTAATGCAAATTATTGTGTCATTTCAGCAAAAAATAATTTTAATTTATTTTATAATATTTAGAAATAACCTTCTGGAATGATCGACTTAAGAATCTTTTGTTTGTCTATAACCAATTACGAAATGAACGCATCCGGGCAATGGCTCTTATACTCGAAAGTACTTACAGTGCGTACCATCCATGTTTTCAAACGTTGTTCAAAAATGTTATTACAGGTAAATTAGTGCAATTAAAAATTAAAATAGAACTTCATTTTGCTTAAGTTTCAATCATTTCATTTAAATTAAAGCATTGGCAGAAGCTAAGGACATAACATTGTATTTAAATCCTATTTGACGAACATTGCAAAATTTGGAGGAAACTGACTTTGCTGAATGCAAGCCCATATTACTTTCTCTTATGCACGTTGTGTGTATAATGTGGGGACGGTCACAATATTACTGCAATTCCTCGAAAATAACATGTCTACTTAAACAAATTTGCAATTTAATTATTAATCAGGTATGCAAATTTAATTACAATTAATTAATTAAATAATGCCTGCACTTATATCACTTATTAGGCTAAACGATATTTGGATCCATCATCAATATTTCGAACAGATATTGAAGAAGCAATGCAACGATTAACTCTATCGATGCATACACTAAAATTTTTTCGAGAGTTATTTGATCATTTTAAAGAAAATTTAGGAAAATATTTTGAAGAACCGCACGTACGTCTACCCATATTTTGGACTTTTCATCCGAATTCCGTGTTTAGTCGTTTGAATAATTTTTTGGAACGTTTAACAACGATTCAATGGTTTTTTAAAATAATATGAAAAAATTATAGTCCTGAAATATAATTTCGAAAATTTTACAGGTTCTTTTTAACAGTGATTGAATTTTTAAAATTAGAAAAAGTTGAAATTGGTGGACTACGAGGTCGACAACTTAGTGTTCGCATATCATCTGTTTACATTGAGTTCAATCAATTCTTTACTAGCTTCGCATCAAAAACTTATGACGTTCTTGACCCGGACGATCATGAATTCAATGCTGATTTTAAAAATTTTCAAACGTGCATACAGGAACTGGATATAAAGTTAGCTGGAATATTATGTCAATCTTTTGATGACTGCCATAATTTAGAAAGCATTTTTAAGGTAAGTAGTAGTACATGCTTTTAAGATATAACGATAAAAAGACTCGTAAGAAAGTAAAATTTTTATTAAACTTAAAAAAAGAAGACAAAGTTATTTTACATAAAACACATTTTATATGTATATAAAAATCATTGAGTGACTGTTTGCTTATCATATGTTAGTTCGTAATGAACCAAAAATATATAACCAACTCTAATGAATCTTTACCCAGAGTTTAAATAAATAGATTAGTATAGAATAGAATAGATTTGGATAAATAGATTAATTTGACTGAACATGAGTGCTTTCGATCACATCTATTTTGATTTAACGTTAATGTCCCTTAAATGTCGAATTTAAAAATGTCGTTCCACTTTTTATAACATATACATAGACACAGAATGGTTAATAGTTCGCCATTTGAAGAATAATGGAATTGAATAGAAGATTATATGTTAAGTCCGCTAAATTATAAGTTATGAGTATTAGTGAAATAATATTTCACTAGTAGATATCCTACATTAATTAGAGAATTGTTGGTTCCTCGCATGCAAAACATGTTTAGAAGTGTTCCCCAAAAACTCTATACCATAGAAATACTGTACACTCTTTCGTAATATAATACATTTCTTGATAAAAGTCCTATTGTATTTTTACCGTAAAAAGAACTTTATGTTGGCTTTTAGTGCAGTGAGATTTATTTGAATACTATGTATTATAATTATGTGGCTATACAATTTAGAAAATAATCTTTCTGTTTGTCTAAATATTTAGCTTATTAGCATTGTTGGCAGTGTGCTACAACGACCTATAATTAGAGATGAATTCACTCAAAGATATGCAGAAATTCTAAACATGCTGGAAGAAGAAATTACCAGCTGTGAAAATATTTTTGAAAATCAGTCACAGATAAGCCCCGAACAGAATTTTCTCTACCCGGACTTTTATTGCCCACCTACCGTAGCTTACATTCGATGGTGCACCCAGTTGGAATTACGCGTAGTAAACCAAATGAAATACTTTGAGACGCTTCAACACAGGTGAGATTTTATTATCAAATATATAGTATAAGTATTTCTTATGATTTTAATATATTTCTGTTAGTATTACAAATATAAAAAAAGCTGCAGAAATAATGTATCGTTGTCACAGTCTCGTGCGAAAGCTCAAGGCTGCCAAATCGGATGTGTTTGAAACCTGGAGTACAAAATTGGCAGCACAAATCGAAAAAGGATTGAAGCAATCGCTTATTGTGCGTCATGCCAATAAAAAAACACTTATTCTCAATTTCAGCTCTGAACTATTTTGTATATTAAGAGAAGTTTATTACTTAAAACAAATGGAAATTGAAGGAATTTCAGAAATTGCCCTCAATTTTGCTTTACATAATGATATATATCGAAAGTATACCCTAAACTTGGAAAAGACCATTGACTGGTATAATTCTATACAGGAAAACAGTTCATTAGTTGAGTTAAAACTGATTGAACCAGAAATTGAGATAATAGATGGCTTAATTGAAATCGGAATAAGTGAATTATGTTGGGAATCGAATGGTGAGTATAGCACTATGCTTACTATACTACGAGTATACCCGTATACAAATAAACATATAAATAAAATTTTTGATTTATTGATAGATATTATGACCTATTTGGAAAAGTTAGGAGAGCCTATTGCAGCACTACAAAATCGCATGGATCGTACACAAGGAAATCTACAACGCATTATAAAAATAATGTCCGCTTGGCAAAAGCAACCACTTTTCGAACGTAAGGATTCGAAGAAAGACACTGTACTTTCAATTGATGAACGTCATGATCGGACTTCCAAGCGTTATGCTGATATTAAAGCTGCATCCGAAGAAATACACTGTCTTTTGCAAGAAAATATGTTGCAATTTCATATGGAAGATAAGCAAAGTGATCCTATGTGGTTAAATTATATAGATTTTGTGGATAATATCATTTATGAATATGTACTCAAAACAGTTGGTGTGAGTATTGCGTATATAGCAGAAAATATGGATCCAGAAAATTACTATGCGCCTTTGTTTGAAGCACGATTGGAACTAGTTGAACCAAGTATAATATTTGTTCCTTCTTTAAATCCAGATGATCCTTTAGGGTTCAGTAATATATTGAAAGAATTAATGACAGATATTTTGAAAATGGCTACTCTCGTAAAAAGAATTAAAACTAGCGAGAAGACTGACTATAGAGAAATGGTAAAAACCAATCAAGATATTTTTAATATGCGGCGTGAAATATTAAATGGAGTTGAAAAGGTAATGGAAGAAGCTTCCTCATTTTGTAGACAATTTGAACGCTACTCTTACCTTTGGATTTATGATCGCAAAGAATGTATGGAATACTTTTTAGAATATGGAAGAATTTTAGATGCAGATGAAATTGAATTAATATCTATAAAAGATTCAAATGCTCCCAAAGAATGCGCCCCAACTATTGATGCATTTCGGGAGCAAATCGATAATTATGAAGCTTTATTTAATGAAATTGAAGATATCACATCTTTTCAAATATTTAGCTCTTGGTTTCAAGTCGATGTTCGTCCTTTTAGGCAAGCCTTGCTGAATATAGCTTGCAAGTGGGGAAATATGTTTAAGGAACACCTAGTTACAACAGTAACAACGAAATTAGTGGACTTAAGTAATTTCATACGAAAAGCTGATGAAAGTTTATTACAAACTGTTAAGGAGGGAGACTATGATGGTTTAGTTAATATAATGGCAATTTTAATGCAAGTAAAAGAAAGAGCTGCTATCACAGATGAAATGTTTGAACCAATGCAAGATATAATTCAACTTTTAAAATATTTTGATATGGATATTCCGGAAGAAGTGAATGTTTTATTACAAGAGTTGCCAGAACAGTGGATAAATACGAAGAAAATTGCCACAAATGTAAAACAACAGGTGTCGCCATTACAAGCAACTGAAGTTGTTAGTATTAGAAACAAAGTAAGCGTCTTTGAAGCACATATCCTAGAATTTCGTGACGTATTCAAATATTGTAACTTCTTCCGTTATATCTGCCCGGAACCTTATATATTACTAGACAAATTTAACTTTGACATAACAATTATTGAAAATGAAATGCATAGTATACAAAAATCAGGAAGTTTATTTGAAGTTAGTACTCCAGAATTTAAAATTCTTAAACAGTGCAGAAAAGAGCTTAAACTCTTGAAGGTAATTATTTTTATCTCTTTAGCATTACAATATGTTTCCTAAAGAAATTATTTCCTAATTTACGTAACTTTAATGGCGCTTTCTTTTTTTTTTAATTTTTTTTTTGTTTATTTACTGCATCTATTTTTTCAGTACTCGATTTTTGTGTTGTTGTAATGCACTAAAATAAATGTCAATAAATATACAAGGGTATTTTATCCCAACTTCTCAAATCAGAAAGAATCCATTTACCACTAAACTCCTTAACAGTTTCATTAGGCCAAAAATTACTAAGCTCTTCTAATTCCTCAAAACAAAACTCTTCTAAGCAGTTAACTTTTTTTTTGTGATTTAATAAGTACTTGACCATTTCTTCAATACCTTTACCTGGCATCATCTTCAGACGCCAGTAGTATAGTCCAGCGTACTTATCTATCACACATATTAATACACCTATAAAATATTAATTATTATTATTATTATCGTATTATTAACCAATTTCTATTACATTTTTATTTAAACTGAAAGCATTTATGGGATTACGTTTTTATTGTCCAAACTTGTATTGAAGACTGGAAGACCACACCATGGCGAAAAGTTGATGTTGAAAATATGGATATTGAATGCAAAAAATTTGCGAAAGATATACGCTTACTTGACAAGGAAATGCGAGCCTGGGATATATTTACAAATTTGGAGTCCACAGTTAAAAATATGTTAACATCTCTTAGAGCTGTTGGTGAATTACAAAATCCGGCTATACGTGAACGTCATTGGAATCAATTAATGAACTCTACTAAGGTAAAGTATACCTATAATAAAGGAATATATGAAATTGTACAGTGTAAATTCTTTTTAAATATTCTAAATTAATTCTTAGAAATTTTTTTCAATAACATGTAGAGGCACACAAATATACATCATATATATTAATCCGCTGTAAAAAGCTTTAAAGCTTATTCTTTTTAATATATCTACTATAATATTTCTAAATTTTTTATATTAAAAATACTATATATAAATAATAAAGGTTTGTAATCACTCAAAGTTTTCATTCTATAATTGTATATATTTATTAAGAATGAGTATAAGTCGCTTATTTTATAAGTAAATGTAAAGGCGTAATAAATATAGCTTAAATATACATATAATTCAGTTTTCAATATTATTTTTTATATCGAATTTGAACATCCGTGATTTAATTTACAAAACATTAGTTATTCGAAGGAATTAAGCTAAAAGCAAATCATTTCCAATCCATAAGACACTCACTTGAATACACAAAAACCATTTTGACAGCGAATTATAATGTAGAATCCTTTCTTCTACTTATACATTATCTATTATATGCATAAAATTAAAAGCTTATTTAATAGGTAACATACAATGAGTATTGGTATATTGTGTTTCTTTTTCCGCAATTGTTTTATGCCACGCATAAACATTTATTGTTCAAATATTTGAATAGATTCTGAATAGCAAGTAAATTATTGAACTTCTAATGTATGTACGCGTGCATACTCCTAAAAATGAGCTTATAAAATATCTGCAGTTAATAAAAAAGGACAAATAAATTGATTTATATAGCATAGGAGCCATACTCAAAATACATAGGCTATCTTAGGTGAAAACTTAATAAAACCAATGAAAACTTTTTAGTCTTTATATTAGAGAGACTCTACGTGTACAATAGATCAAGCTGGTCGCAGTGCATAAATGCTTTAACCTAACCCATAAACTATTAGATAGACTATATTTCTATTGATCGCTATTGACCAGCTCCAAATAATAAATTACCACTTTAATATGAAAAAATTTGCTATTCTAATTAAATAAAATGAGCGGCTTATACGATGAAATCATACTTACAAATCGAAAGCACAGTTTTCATAACGAAATGTAAATACAAGAAAATATCTTTACAGAGTTTAGCAGCATTGCCTAAGGAGATGACAGTAAGTTTAGTTAATTCTGCAATAAAGATGTGTATAGTATTTCATTAATAATTTGTTTTATTACGCGAATATCATTTAATATTATTTTGTTTCCATTAGGTTAAATTTATTATGGACCATGAAACAACACTGGCTGAACTACTTGGATTAAATTTGCATGAATGTGAGGAAGAAGTTAAAAATATTGTTGACAAAGCCGTTAAAGAAATGTCAATGGAGAAAATATTACGTGATCTCAATACTACGTGGTCAACTATGGAATTTGATCATGAAGTTCATCAACGTACCGGCTGTACACTTTTGCGTGCTTCAGAAGAACTTATAGAGACTCTTGAAGATAATCAAGTGTGTCTTCAAAATCTAATTACATCAAAGTACATTGCCCATTTTCTTGAAGAGGTGTCAGTATGGCAAAATAAGTTAATGGTTGCAGATCAAGTAATTACAGTATGGTTTGAGGTACAACGAACTTGGACACACTTAGAAAGTATATTTATGAGTTCCGAAGATATTCGTAAACAATTACCATTGGATTCTGATCGTTTTGATCACGTTGATGCTGAGTTTCGGATATTAATGAATGAAATGTCTGTTTCCTCGAATGTAGTGGCATCAACGAATAGAAAAGACCTCATAAAACGTTTAGAAATGCTACAGAAAGATCTCACATTGTGCGAAAAAGCCTTAGCAGAATATTTGGAAACGAAACGTTTATCTTTTCCCAGATTTTATTTTGTCTCATCTGCTGACTTACTTGATATTCTTAGTAATGGAATACAGCCAGATATGGTTACTAAACACCTCACAAAACTTTTTGATTCCATTGCTCGCTTAAAATTTAACACTCAGGAGCAAAATAAAATCGAATCTGCTTCTGGTATGTATGCTAAAGATGGAGAGTATGTGGAGTTTAATTCTTTAACTAGTATAAAAGGACCAGTAGAAGTTTGGTTAAATCGTGTTCAAGCTGCCATGCGTGTTACTTTACGTTCTTATGTAGCTGAAGCAGTAGTTGCTTATGAAGAAAAGCAACGAGAACAATGGTTGCTAGATTATCCTGCTCAGGTTTCACTGTGTGGTTCACAAATATGGTGGTCTACAGAGGTAAATATTGCCTTCAGTCGTCTAGAAGAAGGATACGATAATGCAATTAAAGACTTTTATAAAAAACAAATATCACAATTGAGCTTACTTATAACTTTACTTATTGGCGAATTAACGAAAGGAGATCGTCAAAAGATTATGACCATTTGTACTATAGATGTCCATTCCAGAGATGTAGTTGCAAAAATGATACAAGCAAAGTTGGATTCAGGCCAGGCGTTCATGTGGCAATCACAACTGCGCCATCGCTTTGATGATGTAGAGAAAGATTGTTATGCCAACATTTGCGATGCAGAATTTCTATACAGTCATGAGTATTTGGGTAATACTCCCCGCTTAGTTATAACTCCACTAACTGATAGATGCTACATAACTTTAACTCAGAGTTTACATTTAGTAATGGGTGGTGGTCCAGCAGGACCAGCTGGAACTGGTAAAACTGAAACCACTAAAGATTTAGGTCGAGCACTTGGTATAATGGTTTATGTATTTAACTGCTCTGAACAAATGGACTACCAGTCCTGTGGAAATATCTATAAGGGATTAGCACAAACAGGAGCCTGGGGTTGTTTCGATGAATTCAATCGTATCACGGTGGAGGTATTATCGGTTGTCGCTGTTCAAGTAAAATCTGTTCAGGATGCAATTCGAGATAAGAAGGAGAAATTTAATTTCATGGGCGAAATTATTAGCTGCGTTCCAACAGTTGGTATTTTTATTACTATGAATCCGGGATATGCTGGTCGCACGGAGTTACCAGAAAATTTAAAAGCACTTTTTAGACCATGTGCTATGGTAGTACCAGATTTTGAATTAATTTGTGAAATTATGCTTGTAGCAGAAGGCTTCCAAGATGCAAGGGCGTTGGCGCGAAAATTTATCACACTATACACTCTTTGCAAAGAGTTACTTTCAAAACAAGATCATTATGATTGGGGGTTAAGGGCCATTAAATCTGTGTTGGTAGTTGCTGGTTCATTAAAGGTAAATGAAATACAATATTTAAGCCACAACTTTATTTTATTAGAATATATTTTATAAAAGCGTGGTGATCCAGGTCGTCCTGAAGAGGAAGTACTTATGCGCGCATTAAGAGATTTTAATATTCCAAAAATTGTTACTGATGACATGCTCGTATTTATGGGATTAATAAGTGATATCTTTCCCGCATTGGATGTACCACGTAAACGTGATCAAGATTTCGAACGAACTGTTAAACAAGCCGCATCAGATCTTTTACTCCAACCAGAAGATAATTTCATTTTGAAAGTAGTGCAATTAGAGGAACTACTAGAAGTACGCCATTCTGTTTTCATTGTTGGTAATGCTGGCACTGGAAAGACACAAGTTTGGAAAACACTTCTACGAACTTATCAAAATATAAAGCGAAAACCAATTTTTAATGATTTAAATCCAAAAGCAGTAACTAATGATGAATTATTTGGCATTATAAATCCAGCCACACGTGAATGGAAAGATGGTCTTTTTTCAGTCATTATGAGAGATCAAGCGAACATTCTTGGTGATCAACCGAAATGGATCATTTTGGATGGCGATATTGATCCGATGTGGATTGAAAGTTTAAATACTGTAATGGATGACAATAAAGTTTTAACTTTAGCCAGTAACGAACGCATTGCTTTGACACCATCAATGCGTTTACTATTTGAAATTTCAAATTTGAGAACAGCTACTCCAGCAACTGTATCGAGAGCAGGAATTTTATACATTAACCCACAGGATTTAGGCTGGAATCCGTGAGTAGTTGTTTATATGAATTATTGTGCATAAATTATTATATAATTAATTGTTTCAGTTGTGTATCGAGTTGGGTTGAAACACGGAAAATTCCATCTGAAAAATCAAATTTGGTTATTCTTTTCGACAAATATATTCCAGCCTCATTAGAGACTATAAGGACAAGGTTTAAGAAGATTACGCCAGTAGCAGAAATGGCACATATTCAAATGCTCTGTTATTTACTGGAATGCTTTTTTACTCCAGCGAATACACCAACAGATTGCCCTAAGGAATGGCATGAATTGTATTTTGTTTTTGCTTGCATATGGGCATTTGGATCAACAATGTTTCAGGATCAAGCAATTGATTATAGAATCGAATTCAGTAAATGGTGGGTTAACGAATTTAAAACAGTAAAGTTTCCTCCGGGTGAGTTTAAATTTGATCTTTTTATGTATGGTATGTAAAAATTAATAAATTTCTTATAGGTGGCACTGTTTTTGATTACTTCCTTGATAATGAAACAAAACAATTTTGTCCTTGGGTTGAAAAAATACCAAAAACAGAATTTGATTGTGATCTGCCATTACAATCTGCGATTGTTCATACCTCAGAATCTATACGTCTCCGATTTTTCCTTGATCTCTTAATGGAAAAAAAGCATCCTGTAATGCTTGTTGGTAGTGCGGGAAGTGGAAAAACTGTACTTATAAATGAAAAACTACATTCACTTCCTGAAAGTTATGCGTTAACAACTATACCATTAAATTTTTATACTACCTCCGAAATGTTACAAAAAATATTTGAAAAATCCCTAGAGAAAAAAGCTGGTCGAAATTACGGCCCACCGGGCAATAAAACGTTAATTTATTTTATTGATGACTTAAATATGCCAGAAGTAGACGAATATGGTACTGTTCAACCACATACATTAATACGACAACATTTGGACTATGGTCACTGGTATGATCGCAACAAATTATCTTTGAAGGACATACATAACTGTCAATATCTTGCCTGCATGAACCCAACATCTGGTAGTTTCACCATTAATCCAAGACTTCAGCGACATTTTTGTGTTTTCGCCGTCAGTTTTCCGGGCGCTGAGTCTATAACATCCATATATTCCACAATTCTCTCACAACATTTTAATATTGCGGAACAAAAATTTAATATCATTGTGACACGGATGACACCGAATATTGTTGCTGCAACTTTGTCTCTGCACAACAAAGCATTGCAAATTTTTCTTCCGACTGCTATTAAATCCCATTACATATTTAATTTGAGAGATATCAGTAATGTCTTTCAAGTAAGTAAAATACTAAACTCATCGAATTACTATTTTAGCAATATTTCGTTTACAGGGATTATTATTCAGCTCATCTGAATGTTTGACTTGCTCATCTGATTTCATACGATTGTGGCAGCACGAAACTCAGCGTGTGTATGGTGACAAGTTAATTGATGAAAAAGATATAGATATATTTACAAAAATCCAACATGATATTATAAAAAAATCTTTTGAAGAAATAGACGAATCCGTTATATTTGACAAACCAAACATATATTGTCATTTCGCTGGAGGAATTGGTGAACCTAAGTATATGCCTGTAAAGGGCTGGACTGAGCTTCACAAACTCCTTCAAGAGGCAATGGCATCATATAACGATCTCGTCGCTGCTATAAATTTAGTTTTGTTCGAAGATGCAATGATGCATATTTGCAGGTGATTATTAAGATATAATATTTATAATTGTAGATAATTAATAGTTTTTTTTTCTTTAAACTATTATAGAATAAACAGAATACTAGAATCACCCAGGGGTAGCGCTCTTCTAGTTGGTGTTGGTGGCAGTGGTAAACAGTCTTTAGCCCGTCTTGCTGCTTTCATATCGAGCTTAGAAGTAGTACAAATACAACTTAAGAAAGGATATGGAGTTAATGACTTAAAGGTTATTTTCAAATATTTAAGTTACATGTTTTGTAAATATAGTCACACTTTAATTTCGTTACTCAGTTTTGTTGTAGCGATTTTTGTTACTGCGATACACTACGGTTTTACAATTTCTCTATTTCTCTAAGTTTTTCCATATATTTTTTATAGACTCTATTTAATTCTTTATTCAAACTTTATTTTTTTTGATCTGCCGAAACACAACTTTATATTACAAGTGCACTTATAATAATGTTCTTCGAGAATTTTCTTTAAAAAAAACAGGTATTCTCTCATCTTTGTAGGAACAGTTCGCGTAGAGTTGCCGCATTATGTTATTCCGGTTATTCATGATTCGTATATATTATATATATATTATTTAACATTATGCGGTTATTCATGATTCGTATATATATCATATTATGTAACATTATGCTATTCCGGTTATTCATGTTTCGTATATATAGCATATTATGTAACAATATAGCTACTGAAAACTAAATTGAAACATAGATTTTATTTGCTCTCTTCTTTCAATCAATTAACCTAAACATAACTTCAACTGTGGTACCGATGTACCATAGTACAGGTTTTGTTTGCAAATCATTACTGAGTTCTTTCTGTGCTGATATTTTTTTATTAAAAGATTCAAAGACTCAACGATATGTAGGCATCTGTATATAATCTGGCCACCTTCCACTAAAAGGAAATCCAATATTATCATGCCCCGCAGAGATATCAGTCTTATGGTCAGTTTAATCATAGGTCACTTAAAACCATGCTAAAAGATTAAAACTACCTTTTAATCATACCAGTCGCAGCTATGGGGAAGACAATGAAAGTACCTTTCATCTAGTCTGTCTTTGTCCAGCTCATGCACGGCGGAGACTCAAAACATTAGAAGCCCTCTTTCTTGAGGATCTTTGTCACTTACAAAACCTCTAAATAAGCAGCATACTAAGCTTGACCAAAGATTCTAAGTGGTTTTAAACTTGAAGTTTCCTCCATATACGGTAACACAATGCGCCAATAGGCTTAAGTGGATCCTCTAGGGATCGCCGGTATATCCGAATCTAACCTAATCTGTGTTGATATAAATATCTTATGTATTAGAACGCATTACTCTACAATAAATCCCCCTTTTTAAGTCTTAATTGTATTTTTAGTTTATTTTGGAAAAAAAATATAGGCAATAGTTTATTCATGCTACGATTAAAGATAAAATAGTTTTATACATCCAAAAGAAATATTAAATGGAAATCAAATGCGATTATAATTTCTTAATAAAATACATAATGACATATTGTACATATTATTAAAAAAAACTATTTTAATTATTTTTTAGAATGAATTTATTGGACTTTATCTTAAGGCAGGTTTGAAAAATGTTGGAATTATGTTTCTTATGACAGATGCTCAAATACCAAATGAAGATTTTCTTGTTTTAATAAACGATATGCTAGCTACAGGAGAAATACCCGATTTATTTCCTGATGATGAAATTGAGAATATAATAGCTGGAGTTCGAAACGAAGTCAAAGGTGCTGGTATTGCGGACACCCGTGACAATTGCTGGAAATTCTTTATAGAACGTGTACGCAAGCAACTGAAAGTAGTTCTTTGCTTTTCACCTGTTGGGTCAACACTTCGCATTCGTTCACGAAAGTTTCCCGCTATAATAAATGGCACATCAATCAGTTGGTTTCATGAATGGCCACAGGAGGCACTTATATCAGTTGCTTTGAACTTTTTGCTTGAAGACAAAATATTAACAGAGGGTCAAAGTGATTCAGTGGCGAAGTTTATGGCATATGTGCACAATTCAGTGAATTCCATATCAAAAGTGTACCTCCAAAATGAAAGACGCTATAACTACACTACACCGAAAAGTTATCTTGAACAAATAAGTCTCTACTTGAAGTTACTTCATCAAAAACATGAAGATTTACAAAGTAAGATAGTACGTTTGGAGAATGGTCTTGAGAAGTTACGTTCCACGGCAGTTCAAGTCTCTAATTTAAAAGTTAAATTAGCTGTTCAAGAAATCGAGCTACGAGAGAAAAATGAAGCTGCGGATGCATTAATTGAAATCGTTGGAGTTGAAACGGAAAAGGTACAAAAGGAAAAGGCTGTAGCAGACGAAGAAGAAATGAAAGTTGCATTGATAGCAGATGAAGTAACCAAAAAACAAAAAGACTGCGAAGAAGATCTTTTAAAGGCAGAACCAGCGCTCCTTGCAGCACAAGAAGCTTTAAATACTTTAAATAAAGCAAATTTAACAGAATTAAAATCATTTGGATCACCACCAGGAGCCGTAACAAATGTAACGGCAGCTGTTATGGTCTTGCTAGCACCTGGGGGAAAGTTGCCAAAAGACCGTTCATGGAAAGCGGCAAAAATCGCAATGGCTAAAGTAGACACTTTCTTGGACTCCCTCATAAATTATGATAAGGAAAATATACACCATGAAATTATTAAAGCAATTCAGCCATATTTAAAGGATCCAGAATTTGAACCCGAGTTCGTTAGATCTAAATCAGGTGCTGCTGCTGGTTTATGTGCTTGGGTTATTAATATTATTAAATTTTATGAAGTCTATTGTGATGTAGAACCAAAACGAAAAGCTCTAGCTGCCGCGAATGCAGAATTAGCAGCAGCACAAGATAATTTAGCTGGCATAAAACGTAAAGTCGCTGTAAGTATTTTATAAAATCTTTTTAGTTGAATTTTAGATGCATTTTATGTACATGTTTTATCATTAAAGGATTTGGAGGAACGACTTAAAAACCTAACGGATGATTATGAAAAAGCTAAAAACGATAAGCTTCGTTGTCAACAAGAAGCGGATGCAACTCAAGCAACAATTGGGTTAGCTAATCGTTTGGTTAACGGTTTAGCTAGTGAAAACGTACGTTGGGCTGAATCTGTTAATAAGTAAGTTTTTATATTAATTTTAATAAGAATAATAAAAATATAAGTTGTGTTTATTAGTTTTGTGAAACAGGGCATTACATTACCAGGTGATATATTACTTATAACAGCGTTTATTTCATATGTGGGTTGCTTTACAAAGCAATTTCGTTTTGATCTGCTACAAAAAATGTGGACACCTTTCCTAAAAGCCATTGATCCACCTTTACCCATAACTGAGAACTTAGATACGCTAAACTTGCTAACAGATGATACAACAATCGCTGTATGGACCAATGAAGGCCTACCTAGCGATCGGATGTCCATCGAGAATGCTACTATATTATCAAATTCAGATCGTTGGCCGCTTATGATAGATCCACAGGTTTGTATTTGAAATAAATTGGTAATAACAATTTATTATTGCAATGATTATTTTACCCGCAGTTACAAGGTGTGAAGTGGATAAAGCAAAAATACGGAGACGAGTTAAAGGTAATAAGAATGGGACAACGTAGTTACTTGGATGTAATTGAGAAAGCAATAAGTGGAGGCTTCATTGTCTTAATTGAAAATATTGATGAACATATTGATCCAGTATTGGACTCGCTTTTAGGAAGAAATTTAATAAAAAAAGGAAAGTACGTATTTATTGTATTTCAAGTAATACCATTTAATTTTAAATATTCACTCCCGACAGAGCTATTAAAATCGGAGACAAAGAGGTTGAATATAATACTAATTTCCGACTTATTCTACATACGAAATTAGCAAACCCACATTATAAACCGGAAACTCAAGCACAAACTACAATAATTAATTTTACCGTAACTCGGGATGGGTTAGAAGATCAATTATTAGCTGAAGTTGTGAAAGCTGAGAGACCAGATCTAGAAGATCTAAAAGTGAGCATTAGAAATAGATTTAAAAAATAATTTTTCAAATACTTATAAATACTTCAAACCTTAGGCTGAACTAACAAAACAGCAAAATGATTTTAAAATAATGTTAAAACAATTGGAAGATGATTTGTTGTCACGTCTTTCATCTGCTGGAGAAAACATTCTGGGTGATACTGCACTAGTTGAGAATTTGGAGACAACTAAGTGTACAGCATCTGAAATTGAAGAAAAAGTTATATAAATATTATTTTAAAAATATAAGAATCACAATTTAAATTATATTTAACAGGTCAGTGAAGCAAAAATAACTTCGAAAGAAATAGACAAAGCACGAGAATATTACAGACCAGCTGCTGCAAGGGCCAGTCTATTATATTTTATACTTAACGAATTAAATGCTATAAATCCGATATACCAATTTTCGTTAAAGGTATGTAATCAGAATAAAATTCACATTTATAAACATTTTAAAAGTTTTTATTTTTAAGGCTTTCAGCGTTGTATTTCAAAATGCTATATTTAAAGCGGAACCCGGGGAAAACCTAAATATTCGTGTCGCTAATTTAATTGACTGTATAACATATTCAGTATTCCAGTACACCTCAAGAGGTCTATTTGAATGTGATAAACTAATATTTGCATCACAAATGACATTTCAGGTTAATGAAAGAATAACTAAAGAATATAATATTAACTATTATTTTTCAGATACTTCTCAGTAGTGAAGAAATTACCTTAACGGAGCTAGATTTTTTGTTACGTTTCCCCATAAAACCACATGTGACAAGTCCCGTTGATTTCATATCAAATAATTCATGGGGTGGAATATGTAGCTTAGCATGTAAAGATGAATTCCGAAATTTAGATCGAGACATAGAAACTTCCTCTAAAAGATGGAAAAATTTAGTTGAGTCGGAAGCACCTGAAAATGAAAAATTCCCTCAAGAATGGAAAAATAAAACAGCCCTACAACGTTTATGTATGATAAGGGCTTTAAGACCAGATCGCATGACTTATGCATTAGCGTAAATATTAACAGCGAAAATATTAAAACAGTAATTATTTTATATTATATATTTTTTACCTAGAAATTTTATTGAAGAAAAACTGGGCTCTAAATATATTGAAAATCGTGCTTTGGAATTTGCAAAATCATTTGAAGAAGCAAGCCCAACTACTCCAATATTTTTTATTCTCTCACCTGGTGTAAATCCACTAAAAGATGTAGAATCTCTAGGCAGACAATTAGGTTTTTCAATAGATGAAGGAAATTTCCACAATGTGTCATTGGGACAAGGCCAGGAAATAATTGCAGAATCTGCTATGGATGTTGCTGCTAAAAACGGTCATTGGGTTGTCTTACAAAATATACATTTAGTACGAAAATGGCTACCAACATTAGAAAAGAAACTGGAGTTTTATTCTGAATCATCACATGCCAATTACCGAATGTTTTTAAGTGCGGAACCAGCATCATCACCTGCAAACCATTCCATTCCACAAGTTAATAGCTTCTACATAACATTAATAAATTTTTATTTTTTATATTCCTTTTTTAACATATTCATCTAGGGTATACTGGAATCTTCAATTAAAATAACAAATGAACCACCAACTGGTATGTTAGCCAATCTACACAAAGCACTTGATAATTTTACGCAGGAAACGCTTGAAATGTCTGGAAAAGAAGCAGAATTCAAAGCTATACTCTTCTCACTTTGCTATTTCCATGCTGTTGTTGCGGAAAGACGAAAATTTGGACCGCAAGGCTGGAACAAAGTTTATCCTTTTAATGTAGGAGATCTAAACATTAGTGTTTCAGTTTTATATAACTATCTTGAAGCAAATTCGAAAGTACCATGGGAAGACTTGCGGTATTTATTTGGTGAAATAATGTACGGAGGTCACATAACTGATGAATGGGATAGACGACTATGTATTAATTATTTAGAAGAATATATGCAACCAGATTTGGTTGATGGAGAGCTATTTTTAGCACCTAGTTTTCCAGCACCCCCTAATACTGATTACGCCGGATATCATGGTTATATTGATGAAAATATGCCAGCAGAATCTCCATATCTCTATGGGTTACATCCAAATGCTGAAATAGGCTTTTTGACTATGCGCGCTGAGCACATTTTTCGTACCGTATTTGAAATGCAGCCACGTGATGCTGGGGCTAGTGGCGGTGCTACAGTAACCCGCGAAGATAAAGTAAAACAAATTGTTGATGAAATAATTGAAAAGTTACCCGAAGAATTCAATATGATTGAAATAATGAATAAAGTAGAAGAGCGTACACCATATGTGATTGTAGCGTTTCAGGAATGTGAACGTATGAACTATCTTACATCTGAAATGAAACGTAGTTTGAAAGAATTAGATTTGGGTTTAAAGGGTGAATTAACTATTACTTCTGACATGGAATTGTTAGAGAATTCTTTGTTTTTGGATCAAGTTCCGCAAATTTGGACAAATCGAGCTTACCCTTCCTTGCTGGGCTTAAATTCATGGTTTATTGATTTATGTGCACGAATACGTGAACTTGAAACCTGGTCTACCGATTTTGTGGTAAATATATTTTAAATATTATTTTGAATATTAAAATTTGTTGAAATCTAAATTCTTTTAAAATCTCTAAAAGCTTCCATCATGTGTATGGCTGGCTGGATTTTTCAACCCGCAATCCTTACTAACAGCAATTATGCAAAGTACGGCGCGTAGAAATGAATTGCCCTTAGATAAGATGTGTCTTCAGTGTGATGTTACTAAAAAGCAAAAAGAAGAATTTACGTAAGTAGTTATAATTTTATGCATTAATTATTTAATTATTATATATAATTTGAGAAAATCTACAAACGATTAGCAGGAACTTTGAAATAATTTATTCTATAATTTTTCAATTAACTTATTAATGTGATATAATTTCATTGCCTCCTCTGTATTATAGAAAAGGTACTCATTTCTTTTGTAATTGTATTTACAAAAAATTGAATTTTTTACAACATGAAATTATCTTTCCAAAAATATTTTAAAAATGCTTTACTTCTGCGGTCACAAACGCAGTTTTTATTATTCTAGTTAACGTATTATCTGGTTTATTACAAATAGTTCAAAAGTTACAGCAGATTCTTAGTAACCAAATTCTTCTGGTAATGTTAAAAACCACAATGTATAGTCTTGACTTACACCCAGTCCGATCAACATAACCACTTTGACTATTACTTGCTTGTGCCTTTCTATATTACTTCCTTCTACTTCCTAGAAATACTATTGACATTGATGCAGACAAGAAGTGCTTGTATGTTTAAATGTTTAAAATATATATAAGCCTACCATATAACCCGCTTTGCCGGTAATTTTCCACGCATTCCTGCAGTTCTCGTTAAATTTCTTTATGTGGTCAATGAAACTAAAATAATATCGTACGGAACTTGTACGTAATAATGTGACTACTATCTAAATCTTAAAAGTCTCTAATTTATTCCAAAATATTGGTGCTAGTTGATCTCTTATCTCACAATCGTTATTCTATCTGAAATGGTATGATATTTACTAGACTTTTGCCGAAAAATGTCTGTAATAATTAAAGTAAGTAAAAATACTTACTAATTGCAGTAACTGTTTCTAGATTGTTGCTAGTCTATGATCTTCTGAAGCACTTATGAAAAGCTGATAAAGATTTTGTGTTCTTAATTGTTTCTAGCCTAGGATCACTATAATTCCCATGGGAACTTGGGAATTAGGCTTTCTATGTTTATTTTACACCAGGCTAATCTTCAAAAAAATGAAGCATTAGCCTCATCTTCAATAAGTAGATGAGCCTTATTCTTATTGAAAATGTATGAATAATTACTTTATTCCGATTATTTGTATTTTTTCATACTGAGGAATTTATTGTTTTATCAGATAATCAAAAAAAGCTTTAAACATTATATAATACAGGACCTATATTAATATCAGTTATAAAACCAGTAAGCTTCAGTTCTAATAATTTTCTAATCTTTTAATTGAAATAAATAGAAGTGTACCTCGTGATGGTGCGTATATTCACGGTGTATTTATGGAGGGTGCAAGATGGGACTTACAACAAGGAATTATAATGGATTCTCGTCTAAAAGAACTTTATCCACCAATGCCGGTTATAAATATACGAGTAAGTTGAAATCGACTGTATTAACAGATAATATACACACATAGATACATATGTACATAATACTATTAGAAATTAAACACAACCGTGGTTCGACCATAATTAGAAAATTAAATAAAGTAATTAAATGCACTGATTTTATCAATTTTTTTTAAGAGGATCTGAAAGTAGGATCTGAAAAAGTTAAAAACTAAGAAGTTAAAAAATCCTATTATAATAAATAAAACATTCACAAACATTAATATACAACAAATAAATAAAAATAACTTACTTTTAGCTATAATACTCTTATATAATATATATTACCATTTAATTCTAAACGTGTACTTGTTTATTTCTTTTTCAGGCGGTCACGAAAGATAAACAAGACCTACGAAATATATATGAATGCCCTCTGTATAAAACTCGAACTCGTGGACCCACTTATGTTTGGACTTTTAATTTGAAAACAAAAGACAAACCTGGAAAATGGACTTTAGCTGGAGTTGCATTATTGTTACAAATATGAAGGACTATTGTCAACAGAAATTATATTAATAACAGTAGTATAGTGTGTTATATAAAAGTCATACCCATATTATTGTAGGAATTATGTTTGGCCAATTGGTATAGCCTATTAATGATATTGTTTAATTAGTAAACAGTTAAATACGTTGACCCACTTGTATTAGAAAATTTAATTTGAAAATTAAAAATCAGTATAAAAACTGGCACTTGTTTGAAGTAGGAATAAGTATTGCTAAAAATATGAAGAAGTATTGCCATTAGTCATTTTATTAATAATTGTAGAACAATAACCATAAATTGTTTTGGAAAGATTAGTATAGTTAGTAGTGATAGTATTTTATTAGTAAATATGTAGTAGATCCGATAATGTCTTAAAATATAATTTGTAAACAGAGGACAAGTCTGGGATATTGACTTTGAATGGAGCAGCAATTTATATGCAAATACAAAAGATAGAAATTGAAATAATATTAATAATACCTGTAGACATTATGTCTACAGGATATAATATATTGTATATTCTACAGGAATATGATCTAGGATTGTAGTAAATAGTACAACACGTGGTTTCACTTTTATCTGAATATTAAGTTTAAAAACAAAGGACCAATCTGAAAAAAAAATTTGACCTTTGACTTGAGTTGCATTATTCCTACAAATATGAAGAAATATGAAAAGAAATTGTTAAAGAAATGGTAGTATAATAGTATATAGTAGTATATATAGTAGTATATAGTAGTATAGTAGTATATATTACTAATAGAAATAATATTAGTAGCAGTAGTATAGTATATAGGACTTATACCAATAATAGTTACCATATATTACATCCATTAGTATAGTATATTATTTAGAGTAACATTTTGGAATCAGAGAATCAAACTTTACTTGGACATTTAATTTAAAAGCAAATGGCAAATTTCGAAAATGGTCTTTAACTGGAACAGCATTATTGCATTATTGCTGACGTTATGAAAAATGTACTCAATTCCACAAGACACCGCACCAAAAATTATAGAAAATATATAAATTTTATCAAAATATTTTTAATTAATTGTTATTATGACTAATTTACAATAACTTTTTTGATTATTACCGGGCTTATATCGTTTATATAACAATTGCCGTAATTTTTTCTTTCAGAGTAGCAAAAATATACTCGCAATTTACGAAAGAATCCATGTGAAGCAACATCAATGCTCTTAAAATCTTCAGAGTTATGTTTTATTCACAAATAATTTTACGTCTTAAGTTTCAGTGCAGCTAAATTCAAAAATTAAAATACATTCATAAAAATTAATTAATTTAAATTAAAGAAAACAAAAAGAACTAAGAGACTAAGGTAAGCACTTTTATCTTATATACAGAAATCAGTCACTACAGTACAGCGTTTTTGAAACCCTGATCGCGTTTCTAAAAATGAAACTCGTAGTTCATAGATTGTCAGCTTTCCATACTTTTTCTTTATTATAATTTTCTACTAGAACATAATCTGGCATAGCGCCCTGAAAACAATTACACAGTTTAGATACTTTTCATTGGTGCGCCCAGATCAAAAACCATCTAGCCACTTCCTCTCTTCCCACCTCTGTATCATTCAATAATAGAACACTTTACTAAATTTACTCTCTTTAACTTTGATAGATTTATTTAAAATCGTCTTCAATTCATTTTAGAGAAATTTGAGAGTGAAAATTGAAGTATTAAAGTACTGAAGTTTTTTAATTATTTATGAATAAATAAAAGTATTTTTAAAATGTTAGCGTATTAGATACTCATTTGTGCTACTAATATGGTTGAACTTTGAAATCAGTTTGTAGGTGTGCAAAATTATTAAATCAGTTAAATCCGAGAGTCTATTGAAGCTTTTTTAATTTTCTTAGCAAGAGCAATAGGCTTAGACTTAAGAGTATATAAACTTTTATACTGAAGTCTTCCGGTGCAGTCGTTCAAAATGTGTGCAATAAAATTTAAGTTTAACAAATTTGTAACTACATTATTTATTTGCTTATTTTTAATTACGAGTAAAGTGCAAAATTCTCAGCAACTGAGGTGCGTGTGTAATTACTTGTTATTTGACTACTTGTTATTTAACCGTATATATTATTTATATGTACAACATTCACAACATATGATACAAAATAAATAGCAATTTAATGCATATGACGTTTACGGATCTTACGCAATATAAACATACAAATCTGTTATTAACTTAACAAATATCTATATTTATATCATGTATAAGAAATACATACAATTAATAAATTATAAATTGAAAAATAAATTTATGCCAAGTAAAACTTCTAGTCGAATCATTACTTCCGACAGTTTCATTTGTAAGACAATCGACACTTTTTTCAAACGTTTTCCTCGAGTACCGGCGTAATATAATAGTATCGAAAATTTGTTACTCGTGCTGTGATTTATTACTCATCTACGAGACGGACTGCCACTTGTATCTACTTGTTTTATAATAACAAAGTTACATTTGTAATTAAATCGCTAACTATTTCATTTAAGCTTAGTTCGAAAGCTGTGAGAAAGAGCGGATCGTAGAGAAAAGTCAATAGGAAGCATGAAAAATTCAATAAACTATAAGTTAAAGTTCATAATAATTCAGCTTAACGTTCATAATAATTTATAAAAAAAATTACATGAATGCCAAACAGACGAATTAATTTCGAATAGACAAATACTTACACCTAAAACTGTCTGTTAGCAACTGAACTATTTAATTAGCATTGAGGCGTTTCAACCAGCAAGGAGATGACTAGCTCAGATCTATATGCGCACTTTGGATAAGTAACATAACTTGTAATATTAATTTAAAAAACCTCTTGTTAGTCAATATGACTAGTTGTTGTTAATTGAAACTTTAAACTCTGTTTATATACAATAAAAAAATTATAAAAATTTTCTACTTTCGATTATTGATTGCGATCTTTTGTTATTCGTGTATAGTAAACAGAACCAACAAACGAATTAATTTCGAATTAATTAATGATTGGCATCTAAAAATGAAAGTTTTGAGCTTGAATGCTTGATAAGGATTTCCATTTATGACTTTCTATGTCTAACAACACCGCTTTAGATAAGGAAAAAAATTTCAGAAAAACCAATAATAATTATAATATTAATATATTATGCAGATATATATCGTATTTAATCGATATTAATTTATATACTAATATAAATTAAAAATTATTTATATATTTTAAATTATGTAGATAGAATATTAGGAATATACAATCCTTTTCGTTTTTTGGACAGGTGACATACTAGCCGTAATTTTTCTTTCAGAGTTGTGAAAAAAACAGCATTAAGTCTGGTTAAAACAAATTGGCATCACTTTTAAAATATATTAATTATTTATTTTTGACATATGTTTTTTGTTGTCTTACGTACAATATGATAACATATCTATAAATCGTACACTCAAAACTAATTAATTTAAATAAAAGACAACAAAATGAATATTAGAACGGCAAAGGTTAAGCATTTTTATCTTATATATTTAAATTAATTTATTTATTTATATATTTAAATTTATTAGTAAATGAAATTTTTATATTGTTTTAACGGATGACTGGAATATTGCAACACATTTCCAGTCAACATTCACAATAGGCGGATTTTATGAATTTGGCTGCACTAAAACTTAAGGCGTAAAAATTTTTCGAATGAAACTTAACTCGGAAGATTTTAAAAGCATACGTTGACGATAATAAAATATCTTAAATTATAAGATACTTATTTACTAGAAGCATTATATATGAAAAATTCAATTTCATAGTATGTCGCGATAAAAAAAATGAGAGTACCCGTAGCGTGGATACAATAAGTGATGAAATTTCCAAATACAACTTAAACACATTAATAACAAAATAAAACGTTCTTTGTCCAGAATGCGTTATAATACTATAGTAAAGCACTGTGTAATACGATTTTTTAGCGCTTTTAAAAATAGTTGATAACAAGAAATATATCAAAACGTAGATGCATTCAAGTTAATGATTTGGATCGTGTTTAATTTATTAATAATATAAAAAACTAAAAATATTTAGCAGAGACTAAAAAACTTTGTCAGAAATATAATAAATGTATTATTTTTAATTTAATTTTATAAATTAAATACATAAAATAGTTAATAATAAAAATAATAATTAATAATAAAACAATTGTTATTATTAGAGTTCTATTTCAAATACAAAACGGGAAGTATTTACGAAATGTTCAAATTCAAACATTTTTTATTGACGAGAATTATGCGGGTAACCATACATCTATTTCGGATATTACTGAATTTCCATAATCAGTGGTCTCTCAAAAAATCTATTGGTTTAATTGTCCGTATCTAATTTTTGGGCTGCAAATTCCAGAAATTAAACCCTGTGAAATTCGAATCATGGAACCGTATATTAACACACAAATCCAACGTAGACTTAAATAGCGTTGTTCAAATTTATAGTTTCAGCAATTACTTTTGTTTATATTTTTATAAATATTAAAACTTTACATATACTTTTGTAATGTGATATAATATTTACAACTAACACATAACCCATATTTATATAAATTAACTTAACTATTGTAAATTACATTTCTGCAATCTTACTCTATTCTATGAAATTTTTAATGTTTAGCTTAATTGCCCTAAGAATTATTAGGCATATTCGGAAAAAAACAGCAAGTTGCTGGCCTATACAGGCTGGAATGTAAGCAAAACAACAACACTATTTTCTCTACGTCGGCCTCTGCGTATAGGTATACTGGCCAAACATACCCAGTAGAAAACGGATCGATCCGTCATCGAAGACGTCTTCAAGACATGGATACATACATGAAGACCGATCGATCCAAATGTATGACGGTCTTCGAAGACACTTTCATACAAATTAGCCAAATGTCTTCAATGAATTTTTGTGTACATGTCTCGAAGACCGTCTCGAAGACCATGTCTTGCATAACGGACGCATTCGACAGAAAGTTGTGCGCTCTTAGTGGAGTGCTCATATAATTTTTTCACCCTTTTTTTTATTTTTACTCTTTTATTGCGCTCTTTAAATTTTAAATGAATTTCAATTTTCTCTTTAAATAAGTAGAAAGAAATTGTTGTATTTTGTACTTTTATTTATTTTATATAATAATTTCTTAAATTACATTCAAAATTAAAAGTTTTAAAAATAAATTATAAATTTTATTATAAATTATTATAAATTTTATTAAGATATTAAAAATAAACTAGTAAAAACTAGTAAACATAGTAAAAATTAATTTAAATATTTAACTTAATATAACTCAACATATCTAAAATTAACTAAAACTAATATAAAATAATTTAAAGCATTTCGCTATCATCAATTGTTGAAGTTTTATATGTTTTCAAAAGCGTTGAAGAGGATTTTGGTACAATTAAACATTCTGATCTTAAGAGTTCTAAAATAGCATTACTACAACGCCTGTTAATCCTGTGTTTTTTAAATAAAACAGCTAATTTTTCACAAGTGTGTTCAGTTTTTTTATTTTCAACATCCTTTGTTTCGTTTCTAAAACAACTTTCACTGGAATTATTGTCTTCAATATTAATATCAATAATTTTCCAGGAACTAAGTCACTATTTAATTTGTTTTGATTTAATTTCTTTTTTTTTAATATTTCGTAGTTTAATGATTTTGTTTCTTTATTTTTTTTGATTTTTTTAATATTTATTTCACTACACTTCAAAATTATTGCGTCACTTCATTTATAAAACATAGCGTCATCTGAGGCAAAATTCAAATACGTTGCTATGAATACTAAAAATGAGAGAGAAAGCAAAGAAAGAGTATTTACATTCATGTTTTGAGCAATTGTTTTGCAAATTTGCTTACATGCGGACGCGGTATCAAAGACCGTCTTGAAGACAATGTCTTCGAAGACCACTTTTTCTACTGGGTATCGGCTAGTAAAAAAAATGTTACCAACGCAATAAGCGAGCCATTATGAACCTGTAATTTGCTTTCATTATGTACATATGTGCAAGATTTGCTATTTGCAAAACATAACACTTGACAGATAGCAACAGTGATGCCAATGTTTCGCGTAGCCAATATACGCATCCATTTTTTGCCATACTCGCGAGCCACCGAAAAGGCCTATTATCATTCTTTGATTGATGACGTGTATTGACTGAAATACAGCACGCATACACGGGCTGAGTGTTGATAAGGAATGATCGTGTAAAACACGCTTAACAGCAAATGCTTAAGTACCCACTTTATCCGGGGATATTATTTAAAGTTTAGGTTATAACCCAATAACGAAAGGAAAAACACAACCTAGTCAGTGTAAACGCTATGTAATGTGTGTTTAAGGCAAGCATCATTTTAAAATAAATTTAATATAATATAAAGGAAAATTTATTTATGGGCTGCAAAAATGCCCTCCTAAACATAAAAAACTATTATGTTAAAAAAACAAATTTTTTTGCCAATAAAATATATTTTAAAAAAAAAAAAACAATTTATTATTTTAATTCAATGAAATATTTAAGTTGGGCGAATATCAATGAACAAGTAGATATGGTTATACCAACTTTAATAAATCATTTTAAAGATTTGGAACTTGAGTACTTAAATTTACCCGATATAGACGACGTTATTGAATTGGTAAGAACAATAATTTAAAAAGTTCTAAACTTTTCATGAAATAATATTATTGTTTCAATTTCAGGATCAAAAGATATTATCTGTACCTGCTACATTATCTTTAAGGAATGGAATTTTACACAGCATTGATAATATCACTAGATATGATAACGCTTTTATGACAAGCGCCAAACATGGTTTCCTTGTCAGATTTTATTTAAAAATAAATGAATTAAAAGTAAGTATATTGATATAAAACTGATTTTGATATATGATAAAATAATATTCTAAAACAGTTCTTATTTAATACAAATTTTTAACATTAATTATAACAAAATGTATAAAAATAATAAGATTTAGGCCAGATTCCGCTTTATTCATTAACTTTTTATTCTGTTTCTTTTTATTCTGTTTGTTTTTATGCAATTTATATGATTTATTATAAGCCGGTTTTTTTAAATATTTTAAATGAACCTTTGTTTCGACGAACCCTTTTGCATTTTAATAAAAATCTCTTTTCCAGTAAAATTTCGGAGTTTAAACTCCCCCGAAAATAGTTCGGACCATTTCACACTGTATGTAATAAATTGTTCTCAATTAAAACTTTTATTTTAAATTTTGACATAATTTTCAAAATCTCTTATATCTCCTCTTATATCCTCTTATATTATATGTCAAAAATACACCGAATGTAAAAGCGATTAATTTCGCATAATCGTTATTATCATTTGTGATATATTTTATTGAGTTTATGGAAAAGCATTTTCTTCTTCTACATTAGGATTGTTTTTCGCTATTTCATTTTTAAAACATACCAATAGTACGTAAGTAATATTATATTGAGTTATTAACTATTAGCGGTTTTTATGTTTTCAAGATAATCAATAAGTATTGTTCTCTAAACATTCCAAAATGCAGAGGCAGACAAATTATATTTTTAGCTGAATGTTGCGTTTTTGGTTATTTTGGCATAATTTTACCTTTTACTATCTTCTCAGCTAACCATCGATTTATGTCCAGAATGTAGCAATAGAGCCACATTTCATTCAGAATTACATATCGAATAAAAAATTCCAATATATATGGCCTCAATATACTTAAACAAGCTTAGAATTGTCAACTCATTGATGCTTGTAATCAACTATGGTATATTGTTAGCATTCATATAATCCATTGTAACTTACGATGTCAACTATAAGTTAAAATTTTTTATTAATACTTGTTCCGATGTAACGATCTGTAGGCTGCATTTAATTTCAGCATACATACCAATGATTAATTTTTGTCAGCTAAAATCCCTATAAAATTATCTAGTCCTTCTTTTGCCTTTCCATTTTATGCATTATTTTGATATTAAAATTTTGTCTACAAAAATTATAATATAACATCGTATTATTGGAATGATATAAATGATAGTTAAACCAGCTTTGATATTTTAATAATATTTAAGGAACAGGAAAATATATTTTAGAATTAATACTAATTGTTAATACTAAATTTAGATTGATTACGACTTCAGTCTTAGCGTTTTGGGTATAAATGTTGAAGGCACAGTCGTTGGTTCGATGGAAGACGCAATTATCTTTACGGACTTAACATTGAATATAGCTCAGCCTCAATTCAAGTTAAATGAACTCCGCGTTATAAATTATGGGTGAGAATTGTATATTCGTAAACAAATTATATTTAAAGTTTTACTTGATTTTCTTTATTCTTAAGCGACTTGAATATACAATTGAGTGGTGGAAACATAATAAGTCGACTTGGTGATTTGGTGGTACGTCCATTAACAAATATGTTCGCTTCTAGAATTGTTTCACAAATATCGAGTGGACTTAAAGATCAAGTACAAAAGTTAATGGATGATTTCGTTAAAAACGATCTTATGAATATATTCAACTATTCAAGACAATTAACCAAAAACTTACCAGGATAAAAAATGAGTATTAAATGATAAAAATTAGCAATAGTATTAAATTATATCTATGTATATATCTATGTATATATGGGATATATATATTTTTATTTGATCTGGGTTGTTTTTTTAATAAATATGTATTTTATTAATATAAACATTTATTAAAATTCTTAATTTTTTGTTATGTATTGTATTAACTATATATAATTAAATTACGAAGTACTTACTTTCTATGATTTTATAATTTCTTTTATTTATTTGTTCAAAACGCCTACAACTTTAGTCACACCAAAGAATCTAACTGATCATTTTGCAATTATCTTACTTTGAAGCGGTCACACTCGAAAAACCTTGTATTTCATCAGATTTTTTGTTTACATAGTAGAAGTATTCAGACGACAACACTGCATAGTCCATATATAATTGTTTTTGAGAAATGACAAAATTTCCAAGTTAATTAAATTATTAAAAAAAAATAGTGATGGGAATAAATAAATGAACAAATTTCACTTTTCTTGTCATTGTCTTGCTTTAAATTGCAGCAAAATAAATAAAAAGAGAATCAGCTGTTTGGTCAATTTCATTTACAACTTTATCGAAAAATAAAAAAAGTAAACGTGACATTCAAAGGTTCATTATTATATCGCTTTACCGAATACCGATTTACCAAACCATGCCTCCCTATTATCTTAAAATTATTTTAACAAAAGTATATTCAGTGACAGCAAGAAGAAAAAATTTTAATTATATTGTTTGTATATCATAGGTAAAACTTTATCAAAATCTCATTTATTAGCTTTAATTCGAACAACATGTAAAGTTACATATACATATGTATATTTTATGCAGTGAAATAACCAGTTGAGCTAAGTTTAGACTAGTGCACTTATCTCTAGAAATATTAAGCAGTACATGCCATTTATTATTCAAAATGTATACAAAAATGTACTGAAATGCTTTGATAAATGTAGGTGTAAACATAGTATTAGATGAATTTTAACTTACACATTTTCATTTAATTAATTCTTTACGTTGATGTGACGTTGCTTTAACTTGTACTGAAGGTTTTTTTACACTTATAATTATCAACCCTGTTTGGTGTTTCTTTACATAGATATTATGTGGATGTTGTATGAAAAAGTTTATACTGTGTAATGTTATATATTGCTGCACATTTAGTGAATTAATTATCATAATGTGAACTCATTTCAATATATAATAATAAATATATAATTAATAAATTAGATTATTTGCTAAATCCAAACGTTCGAATTAGCTGTTCGAATCAGAATTTTAAAAATTATATATTTATTGAATATAATAGCATTGACAGACGGGAGCTAAATTATCATTAAAGGGCTAAATTATAATTTATTTGCTCATTTAGCAGTTTTAAATGATCATTTATGGTCTTTAAATGACCGAATTTAACCCAATTTATTCATCATTTAGGTTTTTAGAAATGGTAATACTGTATATGCAAGCGAAACGAAATAAAAAATGGAACAAATTTCAAGCTATTTGGTTGGTTTTGAATTGAAAAATTCTTTATTTTGCTAACGATGATAATTTATATAATAATATATAATAATGATAATTTATACCGTCTGTCAGGGTATTTTTAAAATGATCACTTAAGGCTGCTTAATGATAATTTAGTGCGTCCGTCTGTCAATGCTATAATATAATACGATTTTTGAATCAAACAATTTAGATTGTTATATGAAAATTTACTTACAGAAATTTTTATTAAAATGACTGCACTTTTATTCAAAATAAATTTTGTCCGTTTTCGTGGTATATCCTTTGCTGGTATAAACTCGCACTTAAAGTCTGGCATCTCACTTTCATCTGTCAACTGTTATGTTATTTATTGACTTGTTTATTATATTTTCTACAATTTGCTGGATTTACGAAACGATGCCTGGGTGTTGTTTATGTGGAAATGACTTTAAAATAGGATTCAAAATTTTCGAGGTACGCTTTGGACAACCACCTGTAGTAATTCATGATATAGTAATTGAATGCATTGGTCCAAGTTATAAAGTAAAAGAAAATAAAAAAATTTGTAAAAAATGCTACGGAAAAATTCAAAAATATTACAAAGCCAAAATAGAAATGCAACGCATTCAAAAAGAACTGATGAATTTATACAAAAACGTCGAAAACCAAAAGGATGATGACTCAAATAAAAGCGACAACGACACAAGAAGTGAAATTCAATCATTCTCAGAAGTTAAACTTGATGAAAATTATAGTAATTTTTCCCCAGTTATGAAAAAAGAAATAATTGATGAGAAATACATTGGTATGTTGCATAAGAATAGTTCAGAAAATTATATAGAAATATATATAAATATAGCTGTATTTATTTATAGATTTTCATACAGATCTGGGTCTCAACGACTTTGATTTTGATAACAAATCTGAAAGTGAATGTATTGATAGTTTGGACATTAGCAATGCTAAAAAAACGGAAACAGATGGAAAAAAAACTATAAATGAGAGTCTAAACAGTAATAAAACAGCACATAAGCCTGTAAAGAAACGGACGAAAACTGCTTACAAGTTTGGTTCTATATGTGACCAGTGTGGGAAAACTTTTCATTCATACACTGGTTTTATTTATCATCGTCGAACACATGATCCAGTAAAACATTTTAAGTGCAGCATTTGCGGCGAAAGTTATCGCAACAAGTTTCGTCTTAAATTGCACATGGCTTATCACACGGGTGAAACTCCATTCGAGTGCGATATTTGTAGTAAACGATTTGTTCACAAAATTGGTTTAAATAAACACAAACAAACGCATGATGAACGATCACGACGAGTAGAATGTGAACAATGCGGGTTTAAAGTGCGTTCAAAGTCACATTTACTTCGACATATGATTACGCATACAGGAGCAAGACCTTTTCCTTGCCCAGTGTGTGACAAATGCTTTGCCACAAATTACGGTATGAAATTACATCTGAAAGAACATCAAAATCCAGGTAGTACTAGACAACAAAGATATCGATGTAAAATGTGTCCACGAACTTTTACAAATAAAAAAAATTATGAAAAACATTGTGAACAAAACGATTGCATTCAAGGAACAAACGATAATACAAATAAACAGTGTTACGAAAACCAAGTGACGAATAAAAGTTAGAAATTAAAATTTGCGTTATTATTAAAAATTTTCAATTATAAGTTTTATAGTATCCAATTTGTTGAAATAATTAAAAGTGAGTAAAGTGGTATTATCTTAATTTGCAAGAATGTCGGTGTACAAGGATAAGGATGAACTGAACCAAGAAATCGGGATTATACTACTGCATATTATAGTAAGGAATATTACTTTTAAACAAGGGCAATATTCCCTTTTAAAGCTATTGAGAAAATATTCTACATAATTTACTTTCAAAATACATTCAAATTACTTAAAATAATTCAGTACCAATTGTAATTCAAAAAACAAAACTAGTAAACGCTAAGGTTGTAAAATTTAAGAAAGGCACTAATCAATGTAATGTCTATTAGCTTGAGAGTTATTACCGTGGATTTCGGATTGTTTGAGGAGAGAAATAAACTCCCTAGAATATTGAAGTTATTAAAAATAAGAAAAAAATTTTGACATATGTTTAATTTCAGAAATAAAAAGGGTGAAATAACGTTTTAAAATTTTTATTTTTTTTATTTTTAAAATCATAAAATAAAAATAAAAAAAATTCAGCTAAAGCATGTGATCGGGCTTAAAACTTTGCCCGAGGGTTAGTTTGATGCTTATGTTGCTTAACTCAATTTGATTTTTAATCATTTTGATTAACTAACTGCAAAAAATGTGAACTCATTTATTGCTTTAAATTGAATTCTCAAAACTGCAAACAATACTAGAAACACAAATATCAAATCAAAAATGCGAAAGATATTTGTCTCTTCTGGCGCTAATTGTGTTTTCAAAAAACGTAAAAAATATTACAAAACTTTATAATATTTACTTTAATTAAAACAAACAATTGTTTTAAGTTGTAAATGTAATTTGTTTATTCGCAAAAAACAAAAGGCGTTTTTGGTGGCTCACATGTGTGGCAAAAAACAGCAAGTTGCTGGCCTATACTGGTTGAAATGAACACAAAATAACAACACTATTTTCTCTATCTAGGCCAGTAGTTGTTTACTGACCAAATATTTCGGCCAATTAAGAAAAAAATGTTGCCAACGCAATAAACGAACTATTATGAACCTTTATTCGGAATTCCAACGAATATTGCAATCATATGTCAGAAATCATATGTAAACAAAAATTCAAACAAAATTTAAAAATTGGAAAAGAAGAAAAAAAATTCAGTGCTTTATTTTGAACAACATTCTTATCATTCCTTTTAATTCTGAACTCATTTAATTCTGAATTTTTTATTTATTTATTTTTATACAAAATGTAATTTGCTTGGAATTTGTGCGCATATGCAAAATTTACTATTTACCAAAACATAACACTGGACAGATTGCAACAGTGATGCCAATGTCTCGCTTAGCGAATATAGGCCAGCATGCGTTTTTTGCCACACTTGCGAGCCACTGAAGATGCCTAATGTAATGATTCTTTTTTTACAATAAATTATTACACACTAACCTTTTCATAAGTTTAATATATTTAAAATAAAACTAAATAACTTTTCTAAATCAAGCTCTTTTTTTTGCAATTTGTGCACAAACGCATTCATGAACTTTAACAAAATCATTATTAACATGACTCCACTTTTCTAAAGAAATATCTACAATATTAATGTTAAAGTGCATCCACACCAAAACGAATGTACTAACTTTTGCAGGTACGATTACCTGCGAATATTCGTTCGTTCGCAAGCGTTTGCCTTAGTGCGGATGCACTTTTATTTTCTTTTTTGTGAAATATTCTTTGCTCGTGATTTGTTTGCAATAAAAGTCTGGCATCTCGTCTCTATCTGTCAACAGTAATGTTATTTATTGACTTGTTTATTATATTTTTTATAATTTGCTGGGACTAAGAAACGATGCCTGGGTGTTGTTTATGTGGAAATAACTTTAAAATAGGGTTCAAAATTTTCGAAGTACGCTTTGGACAACCACCTGTAGTAATTCACGATGTTGTAATTGAATGCATTGGTCCAAGTTATAAAGTAAAAGAAAATAAAAAAATTTGTAAAAAATGCTACGGAAAAATTCAAAAATATTACAAAGCCAAAATAGAAATGCAAAGCATTCAAATGGAACTGATAGATTTATACAAAAACGTCGAAACCCAAAAGGATTATGATTCAGATGAAACCGACAACGACATAGAAAATGATATTCAATCATATGTAGAAGTCAAAATGGATGAAAACTGTAGCAATTTTAATAATTTTTCTCAAGTTATGAAAAACGAAATAATTGATGAAAAATATAATGGTACGTTGTAATAGTTCAAAAAATTATTTATAAATATATGAAAACATATATTTATTTATAGATTTTGAAGCAGATCTTAATCAATTTGATAACAAATCGGAAAGTGAATGTGTTGATAGATTGGACATTGGCAATCCAAAAGAAATGGAAACTAAAGAAAAGAAAAGTATAAATGAAAGTCTGAATAATAAGAAACCCACTCATAAACCGGCAAAGAAATTCGGTTCTGTTTGTGATCAGTGTGGGAAATCTTTTCATTCATACACTGGTTTTATTTATCATCGTCGAACACATGATCCAATAAAACATTTTAAGTGTAAAATTTGCGGTGAAAGCTATCGCGACAAATATCATCTCAAATTGCATATGGCTTATCACACCGGTGAAACCCCATTTGAGTGCGAGATATGTAGTAAACGATTTGTACACAAAATTGCTTTAAACAAACACAAACAGACACATGATGAGCGACACCGGCGATTTGAATGTGAACAATGTGGACTTAAACTACGCTCTAGGTATCATTTAGTCAGGCACATGATTACGCATACGGGAGCGAAACCTTTTCCTTGTCCAGTGTGTGAGAAATCCTTCACTACAAATTACGGTATGAAACTACATCTAGAGGAACATAAAAATCCAGGCAGCACTAGACAGCAAAGATATCGATGTAAAAAATGTCCACGAACTTTTACAAATATAAAAAATTATGAAAAACATTGTGAGCAAAACGATTGCATTCAAGTAACAAACGATAATACAAATGAACAGTGTTACGAAAATCAAGTGACGAATAAAAGTTAGGAATTTAAAATTTTGCTTTATATTTTGCAATTTTTCCATTTCAAGCTATTAAGAAAATCTGCATAATTTACTTTCAAAATACATTCAAATTACTTCAAATAGTTCAGTACCTGTTACAATTCTAAAAACCAAACTAGTAAACGCTAAAGTTGCGACATTTAAGGAAGTCTCTAATCAATTAATCAAATGCCTATTGACTTGAAAGTTTTAAACGTGAAATTTAGAATACTTGATAAATGAATTGAGTAGTTTTGAAGAACTGTTTAAAATATCAAGGCTATTAAAAATAAGAAATAATATTGACATACGACTACATGAAGATGTACATAATAGGTCTGTTCCGTGAGCTACTCAGTAAAACACAAGCACAAACTAAGAGCGTAACATAAATAAAGTACCAGATTACGTTCTTTACACAAATGTTTATGGAATAGTCTGGTGAAAACAGCTGTTTTTTGAAAAATAAAAGAGTACAAATGGAAATTAAAAAGTAACAGCGCAAAACACATTTTGAAAAACAAGAAAAATTTTACAACACAAGCGCAAATATTTTTAAATATTATTTAAAATTTATTTTATTTTGATAAAGTGAGTTGGAGTACTGTTGATAATTAAATTTGATATAACAATTTAATTTAATGTTATTACAGATATATCTCACTATCTAGAATAATATTTATTACTTTATATTCTGGCTGTGTTATATTACTTAGTTTACTTAACAAAATATTTATTATATTTTTTAATCCATTTCTTTATTGATGTATTTAGAACAATTAATACAAATAAAATTTTAAAAATTTTTAATTAAATACATATATACATTTGTTAATTAAGTAAATTAGAGTATGACCACGCTTAAAATCACAAATAAAATCGAAAAAATTTCCCATTTAGTGTATGCTATGCATAATGAAATAAGGTTATTTTGTTATATTTAGACTATTATACTTACTCATTTTCGGATTTATTTCTATTAACGTGTTTAGTTAGATTTAACTTAAAAAACGAATTTATTGCTTAAGTCTATTAGCTCAGTGTATGCCACTTCAAGAAATTCCAATGTGGCATTAATAGCTACAAATTTTGACAAACACAGACAAAAAACAAATGGAAATCAAAATACATTTCAAACACAAACAAATTGTAATCATAAATGCAAAAATTAACGAATTTATAATTTATTTTCTTAGATCTGATTCAAAATAAAGGAAAAATCTTTACATATTTCAATAAATGATATTATAATAGAAAGTATGGTTCTTAGTTAATTTATTGCAAATAAATAAAATACAAATATCAAATCATATTTGTCTATTCTGATGCTAATTGTGTTATCAGCACATATATGAAAATGTATATGAAAGATATAAATATCTTTTATAACTTAAGCTCTTTTTTGTGCAATTTGTGCACAAACGCATTCATGAACTTTAACAAAATGATTATTAACTTTTGTAAAGAAATATGTGCAATATTTATGATAAGGTGCATCCACACCAAAGCAAATGTAGTAACTTATGCAGGCACAATTACCTGCGAATATTCGTTCGGATGCGCCTTTATTTTCTTTTTTGTGAAATATTCTTTGCTCGTGATTTGTTTGCAATAAAAGTCTGGCATCTTGTCTCTATCTGTCAACAGTAATGTTATTTATTGACTTGTTTATTATATTTTTTATAATTTACTGGGACTAAGAAACGATGCCTGGGTGTTGTTTATGTGGAAATGACTTTAAAATAGGGTTCAAAATTTTCGAAGTACGCTTTGGACAACCACCTGTAGTAATTTATGATATAGTAATTGAATGCATTGGTCCAAGTTATAAAGTAAAAGAAAATAAAAAAATTTGTAAAAAATGCTACGGAAAAATTCAAAAATATTACAAAGCCAAAATAGAAATGCAAAGCATTCAAATGGAACTGATAGATTTATACAAAAACGTCGAAACCCAAAAGGATTATGATTCAGATGAAACCGACAACGACATAGAAAATGATATTCAATCCTCTGTAGAAGTCAAAATTGATGAAAACTGTAGCATCTTTAATAATTTTTCTCAAGTTATAAAAAAAGAAATAATTGATGAAAAATATAATGGTACGTTATAATAGTTCAAAAAATTATATGTATATATATAATATATATATATTTGAAAACATATTTATTTTAGATTTTGAAGCAGAACTTGATCAATGTGATAAAAAGTCGGAAAGTGAATGTATTGGTAGATTGGACATTAGCAATCCAAAAGAAATGGAAACTAAAGAAAAGAAAAGTATAAATGAAAGTCTGAATAATAAGAAACCCACTCATAAACCGGCAAAGAAATTCGGTTCTGTTTGTGATCAGTGTGGGAAATCTTTTCATTCATACACTGGTTTTATTTATCATCGTCGAACACATGATCCAATAAAACATTTTAAGTGTAAAATTTGCGGTGAAAGCTACCGCGCCAAATATCATCTCAAATTGCATATGGCTTATCACACCGGTGAAACCCCATTTGAGTGCGAGATATGTAGTAAACGATTTGTACACAAAATTGCTTTAAACAAACACAAACAGACACATGATGAACAACACCGGCGATTTGAATGTGAACAATGTGGACTTAAGCTACGCTCAAAGTCTCATTTGCGTAGGCACATGATTACGCATACGGGAGCGAAACCTTTTCCTTGTCCAGTGTGTGAGAAATCCTTTACCACAAATTACGGTATGAAACTACATCTAGAGGAACATAAAAATCCAGGCAGCACTAGACAACAAAGATATCGATGTAAAAAATGTCCACGAACTTTTACAAATATAAAAAATTATGAGAAACATTGCAAGCTAACTGAATGTGTTCTTAAGAAAAGTGATAATAAATAAGTATATATAAAAAAAATACGAGTAATAAATTTTATATATTGAAAGCTTTTCCATATTAGATAACGAAGACATTTTTTCACTTTTTCCTAACATACCGTTTTATGATACAGACCTATTTATTATACCACTTGCAATAAAGATTTGCATAAATCATTGCATCTAATAACGTAAAAGTAAAATGTAAAAACGAAGAGTTTTCTATGATGTCATATAATATTGTAAATCTACCTAAGCTAGTATCCAAAACAGTTTAAATATTGTATTAATGCTTGTCCCTAAAATAATCCAATTCACTTTACTCTGTCGCCCCTCAATTTTAATTTCTTATTCCGCTGCATTTCAAATCTCACCACTTAGGTGGTCTAATATATTCCGTTATGTTTACTGGATCAATCCGCTTAGGGAAGTTGAGGATCTTTTCAGTTCACTGATGACAGTAAAATTATCAGATTGAGTTTAACAGATACAATAGTTATAACCAACATATTAAAAAAGATATCTATAACCGTGAAAAAAGTATATAAATTTTAACATTCAATTATGTAACTATTATATATATATATATATTTAATTATATAGCGATTTGGATATTATGTATATTAATATTACAGTAAAGTCAGCAGATTTGAATAACTTTTTCCACAACGGTTTTTCTTGATATTTTTAGATTTGAAGTTATCATCTACTACATGTATTTGAGTCATGTTATGCGGATGATCCACAAACTGATTTGATTGATTGAATTGACAAGAATTTTAAGTCCAGATGTCTTCAAGATGTTGAGAAGTCCTCTTGTATTTAGTGTTCTTGTTGATACTATTAACTCAAAAACATAGAAATATTTCTATGTTTTTGATTAACTCTTGATAACATAAAAGTTAGAAAATGTCTACTGCTTGTTTGACCGTCCGTTACTGGAGAGATTTTTCGAGGCTTTAAGACAAGTATATGAAAACTTTGTATGTTTCTTATCAGATACAACTTTCCTCATTAAATTTAAAAATATGTAACTTTAACAATTTCAAATTTTTAGTCGTCATAATTTAAAATGTTTTTAACAATAAAGACATTTGCTGATGCTGACGATATCATTGATTATTTTTATTGTAACCAATTTACATATTATTGGGAAAGCTGGGCTGCAAATAAAATTGTGTTACTGTTTCAACACTTGTCTTTTCATCATCCTTTGGTTTACTTTCCCTAATAATAGTAAATTTGTAATGAAAATAGTAGCTTATATCAGAGCGCTCATGGAACAATGAATACTATGAATAATATACTTAATGGATACTGACGTACAGCACGGGAGTAATACATTGCTACAGCCTGACTTTTAATCGCAATCTTATATTTTTTGTACAATACCTAAACACAAACATTAACAAATAATATTAAACTTTTCACAGCATTTTCATTATAATTAATATTTCTTTAATAACTTTAAAAGTGTATATTATTTAAAATGTAAAAATTATTTAATTACACTTTATACTACAAAATATAACTATAGAACATTGTACAATTATTTTAATAAATTATTTATAAATTAATTACATTTCGATAAAACGCAATCTATACCAATAAACAACGCAGTGCAGCTGAAGTTCTTATCATAACTGCTGACAATTTTGTTGCTCTGTTCCATTTAAATTTTATGTACACAAAAAGTATACAAAACGTCGTCTACATTAATATTCAAATTTATTATTTATATTCAAGTAAAATAAATGTCTGACATTATTATATATAACTGGATTTAAACTAAAACATATAATTAAAAGTAACATGAAGTGAAATATACAATTAATAAGCATTAATTATTTAATGCGACAAAAATGTAAATATTAATTTCAAAATATATTTTTTCCTTTCATTGATTTTTAATGTTCGTTTTCTCCAAGGTATGCTTTTGGCAATAGAAGAGATACTTTAAAGGACAAAAAATACCATTAACGGCTCGATGTTGTTACTAAACTATTTTACTTTGTACAAAGCGACGTTAATATTTATTAAAATTAAAAATACTAAAATTAAGTTTTTTCCTCTTTTTCTTTGTTGTAACGTTCAAGCTCTTTTAAAAATTGAGCTTTTGGCTTCATTATGTTCTGTCTTTCACCACGGCAATTAGGGCAATACCATTTACCTTTTGGCTTCAGCACAAGGGACACACATGAGAAGTGGAACCATTCAATGGGGCAAAGATCATTATCGCAAAGAATCATTTCACCAAAGGAAATCTAAATTAATGAAAAATAATAAAGAGATCGTATATAATTATTCATTTTATTAAACATTTTATTTATATTTACCTGATTACAAACACAATACGTTGGCTCATCAGGATCTATTGGATCAGGGGGCGGCGTTTCTTCACGTGTATTAACCAGTTGAGCAGATGTGGATTGTGTTCCACGTGCCTTACGTTTTTTCTTTTTACCGGAACCATTTCCAGTGTTTGAAGAAGAACTATTGGTGGCGGTACCACTCGTGCTGCTTGCAGAGCCCACACCGCCCGAACCGATTTGATTTTGTGTGGAGTTTTTCTTTTGTGTAGATCCGCTAATAATAGTCGAGCGCAATTGTGAAGAGTGGCGCTCACTACCGCCATTGCTACCACCTTCGTTGGCAGAATTAGATTCGTTTCCACCAAATTCCATAACTCCATTGTTATTATTTACATGACTTTCATGTCGACGACGTGAGCGTTTATTTGTATTACTATTATTTAAGGTACCAGTTGAGTTACCATTTGTTATAAGCACACCGTTACTAATTCCTGAATTAGCCGTAGTTTCTATATTACCGACATCATTAAAATTACGACCGATATTAGAGAATGTATTGGAATTATTATCTTTCGAAGAAGTATTGCTATTTTGACGTTCATTACTGCTGCTGGATGTTATTGCGGAATCACCACGTATTGGACTATGTGTACGTAATTGTTTGGTAGGGATTGGACTGCTATCGTCCATTTGCTGGCTGCTATCGATTCGATGTTGCTGCAAATCCTCTTTTATATCAAGATTTTTCTGATCTATATCTAGTTGTCTTGTTTTAAGGTCAATTAATTCCTGCAGTATATTTACAATTTGCATTTTTTCATCACCAAGCTCTTGTGCTTGTATAAGGTTTTGTTGCATGCGAAGTATAGCGCGGGTTTTTCTATTATTAGAGATATCCGCTGCGTTTTGCATTGATTTCCATAGATCATAGTAATGATCAACTTCTCGTAAGTGACCTAAAGTATAGCAAATTGTATTTATTAAAAAAATTTTGAATTTTTCATAATAAGGTTAGGTTCTCACTTAAAAGTTTAAGTGTTAAATTACTATATTTTAAAAATTTTACATACCTCTATATTGCACATCTATGTCTCGTATTCTAGATAAGTGCCTTTGTATATCATCTGGAAGATTCTCCACAGAATCTATGTAGTTATCCACATAAGTGGCCGAGTGTATTGCTTCGGTTGCTGGGTTTATCATAATTTCGTTACATAAAGATTTGGAACAATAAGTTGTTCGCGATTAATTTAGTCCAATATATATAACGCATCCAAACTAGAGCGATTAGAACATTTAATTAACTTAAAACTTAAACTAAACAAATCTTTTTATAACTCTGCGTATTTGTATATGTGGAACGAGCTCTAAAATTGATGGCACGTCTGTACACTATTTCGAACAAAGTTGCCATCATCAGTTAATGCAACAGTTTGTACAACATTGTGTAATAGTAAAGAATTGATTTACCACCACTTTAAAAAATGAATTTATTTGACGTTTAGTTGACAAATTTAGTTTAGACGGAGCGAATTTAGAAAATGTAACAGGCAAAACGACAAACAGTAAACACCACACAATGTGATATCAGCTTATATAAAATTTGTCATACGTTTACGTCGAAAACCAAAATTTAACTGATTCTTACGTTTCCCCCTATTTTTAATTTAACATTGATAAAATTTGCAATTTTAAAAATTTCCTACGTAGTGTATTTAATATGCTACGCAATTTTTTTTATTATTTTTAGTTAAAATGTAAATGTCTTAGATTTTGTGTTAAATTAAATAATAAAAAATATTTAATAAGATTTTATCCACCTCGACATTTTGTTTTGAAGTTATTATATGAAATCAATTTACCAAAATAATGTTAAATATAAATAAATATTTTCATTAGAATGCTGTTTTCGATGAAGTATTTATTAATAAATTTCTCATCCCGCATTTTCTAAAAATATGGATGCAGTGTTATCTCTTAAATCAATGCATGTGTTAGTTATGTATGGCAAATATGATTAAACTCTACACCCATATCATGATAAACTCCAAAACTTGTTAAGCACGGCAGTATTTATATACCATACCATATGGTGCCTGAAATACTACAATCACAAAATTAATAACTAATTTTATTTATTATTATAAGTAGTAATTGCTATGTTTGTGCGAATTTAAATATTTAATTAGAAATTATTTTTAACAGCGTTTATTCACATTTTGTGCTTTTATAGGTTCTATCAGATAATACGTTGTAATCAAACCCCTAACTTTACTATTAAACCCTATGCTTCTTACAAAAACTGATGTTAAACTAGTTTTGCTAAACTTTAAGCATAATTCTTTTAGGATACTTTCGCAAGACTAAAATCGAATATTTTTTGACTTAAATTTTAAGACACACGTAGACCAGTTATTAAATTTAATACTATCACAAAATTGCGTAATTTAAAAAATAATTTAATAATATATTATATTACACATTAATCCAACATTCGAACTTGTATAAATGTAAATGCACTATTCATGTGATGAATTCCTACATTTCAATGGTGACATGGCAATGCTACACATTTTGTTACACTTACATTCCACAGTACAGCAAAGGTTCAAATATTACACAAATTCATGTATTTTATTGCATGTCTGTCATTTTCAAATTAAATTTGTCGGCTTGATAATCGGAAGAAGTTCTGTTTGGGGTTTAGTGCCGCATATATATCTTGATTGTGTTTGAGAATAGACGCTATTGTGTTATACTGGGCGTTTTTTATAAATTTGGCTTATCAGTATATATTATAACTTAGTTTGTTGAAGCGAATTACCATTTTCAATATATTCGAATTTTATTTATAGTATAACAAAAACTTTTTAAGTGCTCTTAAAATCTACAATTCTACCTAAAACAATTTTTAAAATATAAGCGGAAATGTCTACATTCTTTGGAATCACTGAAAACAACAAACCATCTAGCAAGTAAGTATTATACGTAGTTAGAGATTATCGATAAAATTATTATTGAGGGGTGCATTATTTGCAGCATATGTATGCATGCTGCATTTTCCTTTTCTTTAAAACCTTGGGTGGAAATTGTATATTTGCACTTAATAATTTATATACAACGCCATTATAATAGACCGGCAAGTTTACAGAGAAAGCCGGTTTAACTTAATCAATTGCCTTTTATATTATTTAGCAATAAATTATAAAATACATTACCGATGGATTATAATACAAAAGCAAAATTTGAGTAAAAATGTGAACAATTAATTCTTCGACCAATCATGCACTTTGTTGCTTTTTTTACCATTCTTGTAGGTGTGCGTGATATCAACTCACACATGTAGTGTTGTGAAATGGCCAATTTTTAATGCATCGCGCTAGGGTTACGAAGTGCAGTTGTTCGAAATGAGTTTTTTTTTCTTGTAAATACTTGTCATTTACGAAAATTTATTTGATAATTTTTCGAACTATTATCTGTGACAAAGTAATTTATTGTAAATAATGTGTATAAAAATTAGAACATATAAAAATATTAATACTTGCAATTAAGATATAGAGCGTTAGAAAAAAAAATAAATAAATTTATTGAAAAATAAATTTTAAGAAAATTTATATGTATTAAAAAATTTATATCTCATGTATGATACTTATTACTTCTGTCTTACATCTATAATTGAGAAATTATTTTTAAATTTCTTGCATTTTGTTCTTTGACAAGGGCGCTTTTATTGAGACTAAAAATTTAAATATAATAACTTATTTGTATGGTATTCGAAGTCAGCTGTTGTTTGTTTACAAAAGAAAATGTCAAATGAAAGTTTGAAAATCAAGAAACGATTTTTGATTACATCTAGTTAAACTGAAGAGTAGAAAGTTAACGCCAAACATACATAAATACTACTTCAACCTCGTTTGGCGCTCTCGATTTCTGAAGTACAAGTAAACCTTGTGGGCAGCTCTCTCTTAACACCGCGAATACGCCTTCAACGCTAAGCGAAAAGAGATATGGCTTCGCCAAATATTAACAATATTACAGTTTCTTTGTTTAACAAAGACCGACAAAATTAAATAAAAAAAATTGCAAACTGCATGTGGGACACTGAAATATAAAAAAACTTATTGATTATGTTGAATTTTTGTACTTTTGTCAATCATTGTAAAAAATGTGAAATTATAACCAGTTTGTAAATAAATAGTTTTAAAGAATATGGGGTTAAAATTAAATAATAGAATTTCTAAATATACATACCTATGTATGTGTATATAATTGCATATAAGTTATAACGACGATAACAAGTAGTATAGATCAACATATGTAGACAAAAAGTCAATACGATCTAATAATATGTATATAAAAATGTGTACAAACAAAATTCATTTTGTTATATGTGCAAAGTTCGAATGTCACAACAACAAGACATAGCCGATACTTTACGCACAAAATAATGACTAACATTTATACATTTGTAAAAATATTTTTCTTTGAAATGTATTATATATAACTTTATGATTATCATTTTCAAAATGATAATTGCCATGAGTAATTAATTAAACAAGGAATATTATTCACTTTGATTGTGTTTATTTTTTTCACTGAATTGAGACCAGTAATTTAAACAGCTAATCTCCTTTGTTTTAAAGACGATCTCGATAACAATATGAAACCGCGTAGATCTTTTCATGATACTTTGATACTTTTCATGCATTTCCTTAACAGTATTAACAGTACGTGTTCTTTGTCAATTATTTTTATTATGGCTTGGCTTTATCTGACAAGGAAAAGCAAAATTCAACAGAAAAATTTCCAAAAGGTTATCTTTTCTTATGTTTTAATACCCTTTATACAGATCTAAAGTGTACCTTTCATACAGATGTAAGGCTTTACTGTACAGATGCGATTCAGTATTATATGTACATAGTAAGATACATGACAGAAGAACTGCAAACGTACTGACAACTGAATAAATAGATAGTAACGTTTGAATGTCAGCCCCTAAGAAATGCGCCCCATTCTATTTTGTGATAAAACAAAATAGTTTTAAGGTACGATAATTGGTTGTAGGAACCACGGATACTGTGTTTGTAACGGTTAGACACTTTCTGGCGAGTGCCTGACAGTGACAGAACAATACTTAATTACATTTTGCTGAAAAAATTATAAACAATATTTTTTTCAAGAACATAAATTGAAGGTATTAGTTGTTACATATGCTAGCCATATTTTTAGTAATAATATGTAATTGGTAGAAATCATTGATATAGTTTGACGATCGTACTAATATTTAATAGCGATACATAATATGAGTTTGTATGCCAATCTGAGAAACAACAAATATGTTATTGTCAATTTAGATTTTAAGTAAAATTCTATAGTTTTTTGTAAGTGCTGTACGAGTTTCTTTGAATCAATAATAAATAAGAATAAAAAACTAATATGAGTTTTAAAAACTACAATTTAAATACCAGTAGCACAACAACAAATAAATATATTCCTTTTATAACAACTTATAACTGATTTGACAATTTATATGTCAACTTTATGCAAATATAAACAGATTCAAATGACCAATTGAATTTTAACTACATTCTATAATCAATAATAAAAAACTAATTCTGATTTTTCACTTTATATAACCTTTATAGAACAAAATTATCTTACATAGGTTATGTCTGAGACTCGCTAAATAGATTTTTCATACAGAACTGATTTAAGAATATAAGGTTGGAGTGCAATGCAAAAAGGACTTTTTAAAAATAAGTTTTTTTAGTGAAGTCATCTGCTAGCCGTTATAATAAAACTGATGAGTGTTATGATGTGTTGACATAATATTTGAGCGAATAGAAACAGACTTATAGCACTTAAACAGCCGGTTCTTTTGAATGTAAAATAAAATATGTATTATAAATGACTTGGACAAAAAGTTTTTTTTTTCGTCGTTAGAAGAATTTTTTCGAAAACTTAAAAGCCTCAAGGTCTGATTTGGATGAAAATGTGTTTTCACTAAACCAATTTATTCAAATCTGTTGGATATGGTAGATGTGGTGGCATTTCTTAATCTAATGAGATTAATTTTATTATTGCAATTTCTGATGAATCATGATGTGTACAATTGTAGCGAGAAAAGGGGCGTCATAGAGAAAAGGCCTGTTTTAAATATGTGACTAAGATATTATTTTGGTATAAAAATTAGGCTAGGAGTCTAACACATTGCGTCATGTTATGAATGCTTTCACTTGAGATTTTTACAACATCAGTAATCTTGTGTATCTTTTTTTAGCGATTTTCAATCACTAGCTCATGGTTAGTATCCACTATAATTGGAATTGTTACCTCATTTGGTAACCAATACAATACGTATCGAAGGTAGGGGTTTTTATAAACCCCTATGGCTAATTATTTGATAGACACGTTCTTATCCTAGAAGTTTCCTTTACGCAACCTTAGCGACAACTTTTCTTTCA